GGCCCACAAGCTGTACATTGTTTACCTGGATCTGCTTCTCCCCCCTCACACTCCCCACCATTGACTTGAAGAAACTGGGTCATTTGTTCACACTTTTGCTGTTAGGTTCCTCATGTCTTTTTTTTTTTTTTTATCCTTACCTGCATATTTTTTGTAGATAAAGTGTTAGATTTATAAGTTTGTTTAGATTTAGGTTTTTTTGGCGGGGGAGGGGGCATTGCGGGAATATTTCAGTGATGCTGGGTACATCTTATCACATGAGAGGTTAACTCCACATAAGATGGAGTTGCCTTCCTTTTTTTGGATTTGGATAGTGACAGCTAAGACTGCCCAGCAGGCCTCTTTGGTTTTACTATTTATTTATTCCCTAGTGAGTTGCTTCATTATAGCTTGCAACATGATGATTTTCTCATTACTTGCATATTTTAAAATTTGAATTTTTTCTCTTTTTTCTTTCTTTTAGAATTGTTTTTTTCACCTGCTGTGTCTATTTAGTTATAGTAAAGTACAGCTTGGAGCACCTGGGTGGCTCAGTTGGTTCAGCATTTGGCTTCTGCTCAGGTGGTGATCTCGGGGTCAAGCCCTGGGGTGGGCTCCCTGCTTGTGCTTCTCTCATTATCTCTATCTCTCTCAAATAAATGAATAAAACCTTTGAAAAAAAAAAAGTACAGCTCAAATTGGGAAAGTAGGATAAATCCAGTTAGAGGTTTGCTTATTTTTAAAATTTTTCCAAAACCCAGCTTAGATTTTATTTTCTCTTGCCTTTGTTGTCTACTTTATTGATTTCTATTCTATTTATTGTTTCCTTCCTTTTAATGTGTTTGGGTTGTATTTTTCCCCCCAACTTTCTGAATGCTTAGCTTGTTGGTTTAATATTTGTCTCTGATCGATGCCAGGTTTCTCAACCTCAGCACTATTGATAATTTGGGTTAGATATTTTTTGTTGTTGGGGAGGGGGGCTGGCCTGTGCATTGTATACTAAGCAGCAGTCTTGGCCTCTAGCCACTTGATGTCATTAGTGCACGTTTCCCTTCCTCCCTCCCCACAGTTGTGACAATCAAAAATGTCTGCATATACTGCCAAACATTCCTTGGGGGCAAAACACCCTTGGTTGAGAACCACTGGGTTAATGCATTTAAGGATATAGATTTTTTTCCTTAATACCTTAGTCGTTGCTTGCTTTAGTTACAGCCCATACATATTGCATGTGGTGTTTATTGTCGTTCAGCCTAATACAGGTCTACAATTCCTAATTTGTAATTCTGAAATCAAAAACTTTTCCCCTAAATTTGCACAAAGTACATTTGATCACAAAACCTGACCTGAACAGACCTAAGACTATAGTCTTTGTTTCTGACATATTTTATTTCTTACTGCTTTTGTGTTTTGCTGCAGAAATACTAATATCAAATTATGGAGTACTATATTAGATCTCATTGGGAGTATTATATATGAAATACGTACTATGTAACTTCAAAATTCCTAAAAATTCTGAATTGAGTCATGTTTCTCTGGGTCAAAATGATTTTTGGTAAGCCGCTGTGGACAAGAATTTGATAATTTCCTCTCTGAAATACCTCTATAATTTGAGTTAGTTTCTAAGCATAAGGTGTTGTTTTTTGTTTTGTTTTGTTTTGTTTTTTGTTTTTCGTTTTTAAAGCTTGATGTCAAGCATGCTATTTTAGTTAGAGTAAAGCTTTGTATACAGGAATGAGAAGAGGGGTGCCTGGCTGGCTTAGTCAATAGAGCGTGGGAGTCTTGATCTCAGGGTTGTGAGTTCAAGCCCCATGCTATGTGTGGAGATTACTTAAAAAAAAAAAAAAAAAAAAGGACTGGAAAGAAATAAGGGTAGGAAAGTGAACAGGGGCCAGATTGAAAGGAACCATAAAGGTTTAAGAGGTTTTAATTTTGTTGTGCAGGCAACATTATGACCAGGCAATTCATCTGGTTTGGTGACTCAGCCTTTGTCTCACAGCTTTTTTTTTTTTTTTTTTTTTTTTAGATTTTATTTATTTATTCATGAGAGAGAAATATATAGAGAGGCAGAGACATAGGCAGAGGGAGAAGCAGGCTCCTCTCGGTGTCCATCGAAAGATGAATGGATAAAGAAGATGTGGTTTATGTATACAATGGAACATTACTCAGCCATTAGAAACGACAAATACCCACCATTTGCTTCGACGTGGATGGAACTGGATAGTATTATGCTGAGTGAAATAAGTCAATCAGAGAAGGACAAATATTATATGGTCTCATTCATTTGGGGAATATAAAAAATAGTGAAAGGGAATTAAGGGGAATGGAGAAAAAATAAGTGGGAAATATCAGAAAAGGAGACAGAACATGAAAGACTCCTAACTCTGGGAAACAAACTAGGTGTGGGCGGGGGGTGGGGGTGACTGGGTGACGGGTGCTGAGGTGGGCACTTGATGGGATGAGCACTGGGTGTCATTCTATATGTCGACAAATTGAACACCAATAAAAAATAAATTTATTAAAAAAAAAAAAAAGCAGGCTCCCTGAGGGAAGTCTGATGCAGGACTTGATCCCAGGACCCCAGGATCATGACCCAAGCCAAAGGCAGGTGCTCAACTGCTGAGCCACCCAGGCATCCTGCTGTTTTTTTTTTTAAATTTAAGATTTTATTTATTTATTCATGAGAGACCGGGGGGGGGGGGGCAGAGACAGGCAGTCCTAATCTCTCACTTAATTTTAAGATATTTGATCATGTTAACTATATTTTCCCTGTTGAGTTTTTTTTTTTTTACCTTGACAGCCTCTATGACTTGATTCTTATTTTTTCCCCCTAGCTCTTCTAATTACTAGATTCCTTTATAAATTTCTCTTGCTCTGCTTATTTCTTAAATGTCTCTTATTTTTTAATTCTGCAGCTCCTCCCTGGTCATTTCGTTTATTCCCGTGACTTCGGTGATCTTTATGTGATAACCCCCAAACTCTTTTCTTTAGCTCACATTCTCTGCAGAGATTTAAACTACCCAATATTTAGCTACTCATGAAACATTTCTACTTGCCACTTTTTTTTTTTTTAAGATTTATTTATTTGCAAGAGAAGGAAAGAAAGTGTGCAGGGAGGGGCAGAGGGAGAAGGAGAATCTCCAGCAGACTCCCCACTGAGTGGAGCTCTACTCTGGGCTCAGTCCCAGGACCCAGAGCTCATGATCTGATGCTCAACCAACTGAGCTATCCTAGTGCCCCAACTCCTTGCCATGTTAAGATAGTTGAAATTTAGCAAGTCCAAAGAGAACTAATTTTTTTACCTATTCCTTCTGCTCACATTAAGCAGCAATTTAGTCCTCTTAATTCTTCCTCCTAAATGTTTTAAAACAATCAGATTTTTAAGTCTGTTTCCTAGCATAGGCTATCCTTTGAGCCCTGTAGATTACTTCAGCTTTCCAATTAGCCTGCATGTTTCCAGATTAGGTTATTCTCCATTTTACAACCAGAGTGGTCCTTTGATTATACAGTCTAGTGATACTACTCTCTCTCTCTCTTTTTTTTTTTTTAAGATTTTATTTATTTGAGAGAGAGAGAGAGAGTGACAGAGATCACAGAGGGAGAGGGAGAGGGAGAGGGAGAAGCAGATTCGCCACTGAACAGAGAGCCCATCGCAGGGCTTGATACCAGGATTCCAAGATCATGACCTGAAGCTGCAGGCAGACGCTTAACCGACTGAGCCACCCAGGCACCCCATCCTTCTTAAAACTTATAAAAATTCCTAAAATCTTAAAACTCTTCATTGAGTCCTGGGTATTACTCAAGACTCTTAGTGGTGGATGACAGAAACTAAATTCATACTAGGTTTGGCAAAGAGTGGAATCATTGGAAGGTTATGTAAATGCAGAAAGAATTGGAATGTAGCTAGACTAGGCCTCAAAGACACGTAGAACCTGGATTTAAAATACAACTGATACTTTCTTCACTTCCTTTTTTCTCTTTCTGTGGACTGGCTTCATTCTCTTCTCACTGCATAGTGATTTGTGGACTGAAGAACTAGCCCCAAAGTTTGTGCTTTATATAGTGACTAGTTAATAAATATAATGTAATTGGAATTTGAACTGTATTGTTGAGGGATTGGTTTTCACAAAATCATGGTAATGGAAATTTGTGTATATCAGGACTGTGCAATATGAGGATTGCCTGTATTAAGATACATTAACATGACTTATGATACCGTATTATCTGGCTGCTTCTTCTTCTTTTTTTTAAGATTCATTTTAAAACTACTTCTCTTTTTGGAGCTCTGCTCAGATCTTACTAGTTCATGTAGTTTGCCCAAATTTGAATTTCCATGCCTGTTCCCTAGTCTCTCATTTCTCTACCCTATTCTCTCCTGTTGGGCTCTCCTACTCATTCTTTTAAATTTTTCTGTAGATACTGCTTTCTTTGAAAAAAGTTTTTCTGTCCCTTTAAATTTGGGTTGTATATTCTGCCTGAAGTATTTCCATCTCATAATATGCCTTCCCTGTCATAATACAGAACACATGGTCACACTGTATTGTGCTCATTTACCTGTCACATCTACCAGGCCATGTTTTCCATGCATGTAGAAATCATGGCAGTGCTGTTCCTGACTGTATCCCAAGAGCCTAGATGAGGTGGCCAAAATAATAGGCACTCAGTAAAGTTTTTTTTAGTTTAATGACACATAATCAGACTTTCGATGGGGTACAAATAGTACAATATCATTGGAAGGTATTTTGGAAGAATATAGTATAGGCTAGTCAGACATAACAACCTAGGTACCAAATTATAAAATATTGCAAATTTATACTTTCTTATACTTTAAATGAAATCTGTATTTGATAGCATGCATTCTGTGATCCTTCTAGTTAAATAAACACACCGCAGACATCATGATTGGAGATCTGTTTTTAGTCTGATATGGTAGGTGCTTAATAAATACATGTTAAATCAATGAAGGGACAACTTAAGTTTTAAACTTTTTTTGGTTGTAATAAGTATTTTCATTTATTTCTAAGGTATCTTCATGTTTTAATGATCTTCTGGTCATTTGTTGCTGGAGTTGTTACATTCTATTGCTCATTGGGACCAGATTCTCTCTTACCAAATATATTCTTCTCAATAAAATACAAACCGAAGGTAAAATTTATGTGTTCCTGTTCCTGTTTTTAAGAGTCAGTATGTATTATCTATGCTGTTTGATATTATTACTGAAAGCATGTTAAAGCAGTGATTTAAAAAAATCCATCTGCTATTATTTAATGGAAGATATCAGAACATATTTGAAATGCAATTTACATATGTGTATATTTTTAAGGTATACAGTAAAAAGAAAATATAAAATTCTCAAAAAGTTGGGATCCATAATTTTAGATACCTAACTGCATATTCACTATGAAGACAATAAATTAAAACAGAGGTCCCCAAAGTTGATTATACAGTAGAATCACCTGGGGAATCTTTGGAAAAAAAAGAGAGAGAGAGATTTCTAGGCTCTTTTATCAAATTTTGCTGGAATAGTTCTTGGGTAGGGCCTCATAATCAGTATTTGTTAAAAGCTTTCCAGGTGATTCTGAGGCACAGACACAACAATTAGGAACTCTGGATTAAATTATCTTAACCCTGTTAATTTCCTAAATGTCTTATTAGCTCTATTAAAAGAGACAAAAATAATCAGGCAGTTTTCCTTAACCAAAATAATTTGTATATTTGAAATTTCATTAGGGTGATACTGTATTGAATCTATCTCTAGTAGGCATAGTCACTAGTGTGTAGATATTTTGAAGTCTTGCTTAATAATTCAAGTTGATGCAGTCCCTCTTTTTAGGTTTATTGGTATTTCTACTTAGAAAAAACAAGAGGAAAGTGATGCCCTATATTTGGTCAGAAATGTTACTAGTTATTACATCTCTTCCCCCTTATTGAAGTTACGGTTTTGGAGAAATAGGAAATAGTTTTTTCTTACATGTCTGCAGTAGAATATCATTTCCAAATATAGATTGATTTTTTTTTTTATAATGAGCATAAAAACTGACCTTAATTATATGCTTGGAAATTTGGTTTAGGTATTGCGTTTCATCAGGTACTTTTTCTTATTTGGCAATTTAGTCAGTAGAATTTATCACAAAGAATGGTTTCAGTGTTACGGCAGACAATAATAATTTAAAAATATTCTCTGAATATATAGATTGATTAAGCTTTTGAAAAGTTGATTCTCTTTACTAAAGATTATGTGTAAAGTAAACACAAATCTCTCCTCTTCCCCATTTCCCTTTTTTAGCAGTTAGGACTTCAAGAATTATTTCCTCAAGGTCGTAGCTGTGCTGTTTGTGGTAAAGTGAAATGTAAAAGACATAGGTAAGTTACACATTTTTTATTTGTTGATCCTTCCAATTACATTTTGGATATCAAGCAGTTTAATTGTATGATTTTCTTTAGACCTTCCTTACTACTTGAAAACTACCAGCCGTGGCTAGATCTGAAAATTTCTTCCAAGGTTGATGCATCTCTCTCAGAGGTAACTGATTTAATTAACATTGCCAAATATACTCAAGCAGAAAATACTAAGTATCAATGGAAATTTAATTGTGAAGCATCTTAATATATGCCACATAATCCGTTCTTAACTAAGTAGTTGATTATTATGAAATATGCAGCTCAAATGGAAAGAGAAATGTTTTTGGGTCCCATGTCTAATTTAACTGGACATTTTAGCCAAAGGCAGCACTGTTTTACCTAGATATTGTCTAAGTTTTATAATGATAGTCATCTTTATGGTTAGGGCAATACCATTTTGTAGTTCCAAAAGGAGACCTGAAATATAAGGAGCAAGTATGTCCTGCTGAATTATCCCAGCTTTCACACTTGCTGAAGGGTAGAGCAGAGAATGGAATACTTTTCACTGTTTCCCAATAATGTAGGAAAGCATGCTCCCTTATCTTTGTTATAGTTACATTTTAAAAGAAAATAGTGACATATATTTTAGTTATTTCTATTCATTCATTCATTCATTCATTCATTCATTCAAGACACTGAGAGAAAGTCAGAGACACAGGCAGAGGGAGAAGCAGGCAGAAGGAGAAGCAGGCTCCCGGCGGGGAGACCATTCAATCCGAGAAACCCGGGATCATGCCCTGCCTGAGCTGAAGGCAGACGCTCAATCACTAAGCCACCCAGGTGTCCCATTTTAGTTATTTCTTTTACAGACTTGTTTTCTCCATTGATCTGAGAAGGGAGTCAAGTCCTTGAAGGCAGTAAATGGGGACTAATTTATTCCCAGCACCAAGTATGGTGCCATATACGTTGTTGGTAGTTGATAGATATATATCGAATTAAATTGAATGCTAATTAATTGAAAAATAGCATTAGGCATCAGAATCCTGCCTCATTATCTTTTTTCCCAATTTGTATCATTTCACTAAAAGTATGCTATATAAATGCCAAACTCTTGGCACTTTTTTTTTTCATTTCTTCTTTTTTCTTCATTTTCATCTTCCAGATTCCTTGGTTTAAGACTACGCTATCTAGTGTGATAGCCACTAGCCATATGTGGCTGTTCATAAACACTTGAAATGTGTTAGTCCAAATTGAGATGCGATTTTTAGGATTTAGTAAGAAAAAAGGAATGTAAAGTAACCTGTCATATATTTTATTGAACATGTGTTGAAATTATAATATTTTGAATATATTGGGTTAAATAAAATATGTCCTAAAATGAATTTCACCTGTTTCTTTTTACTTTTTAAGAATGTAGCTACTAGAAAATATAAGATTACGTATGTGGTTCACATTGCATTTCTATTAGAGAGTGCTGATTTGAGGTCTGCTAAAGATAAGACCTCTACCATGAGTATTATTTGTGGGTCTTTGACACTTCATTTCTTAAACAAAAAAAGAAAAAACTTATGTGAAGCTCTTGGCCTACTGCCCAGCACATACTGGTTTTGGTAAATATTAGCTCCAACATTTAAAAACTTCTTTTTGAGATCTTACTATAAGTAGGAACTGAACTAGGCTCCAGGAATAAAAGGAAAAATAAGATATGGTTCCTTTCTTCTAGGAACTTCAGTCTAGGAGGGGAGGTAGACATATAAATAGGTAAATAGAATATAATGTGAATGCAGGCAATAATGGAAGAAATGTACAATATATATTACTAGTACATAGGAAAAAGTGCATAACTGTTGAAAGGGGTAATCAGAAAGTTTGAGTAGCAGTTTGCCAGACTGATAGTGTGGAAAAGGGTATTTCAGGATTTAGGATGAGCTTTTGAAAAGAAAGAGAAGCTTTGAAAAAAGTGTTCAGTAAGCTGGAGGGCAAAATGTCGGGGAGGATGTGGGCATTGAGGAGACTGTATTCTCGTAGCTAATATTTATTAGTTACTTACTGTTAGGCACTGTACTAATTACTATACTTACATTATTTCCTGGAGTCACACAACCTATAAAATAGGTACTGTTATTGATGATTTTACCAAATGTAGGCTTTAGAGGGGTTTAATAATTTTCTCAGGTTCGTAGCTGGTTGGTAGCAGAACTTACTATAAAAGCTGAGTCTGGCTTAGTTCTTAACCAGTTTTCATATGGCTCTTTAGAAATCATATCATCAAAAGACTTGAAGGACCTTGCTGAAGGAGTTTGATCATGGGAGCCTCTGATTTTTGAACTATATAACTAGAGTTTTCAGATGTGACTCACAGGATACAGTAGGAGGTGAAAAGGAAGTAAATGGTCACAGTTGCTAGCAGGCAGCTTTCTCCTACACCTTCAAAATCAGTGCGGCTCAACTTTTCTTACTTTGATACATTGTGGTTTCATAATTGAGGGTTTTATGCAGGGGAGTTATGTGGTCAAATATATGTTTTAGATTACTTTGGCAGCTCTGGAGGATAGACGGGAGCTAGCTTACAAGGAGGGAGACTAGTTTAGAGGATATTGCTACAATATAGGGTTGAGAAGATAAGAACTCAACAGTGGACCTATAGAAAAGAGCTACTTAGGCTGTAAAATCAGTAATATTTGGTGATTGGATGTGGGGAATAAAGACCAAATATTTAATGGCAAATTTTCTAGTCTCCTTTCTGTGTCATATCCCTGTTTTCCTGTATCTTCCTTTCCCAATTGGTATCACTTGTGCTTAGTTTTTCTAATAAAAAAATCAAATTTTGCCTTGATATTTAGAGAATCTATAACCTTTCTTAGTGCTAATATAGGCATATAGTCAGATTAGATACCTTTTTTCAGTCCCTTCCTACTGCTTTTGAAAGTTACTGCCCACTGTTGCAGGTCTTTCTAAAAATTAAGATAATGCTGCACAGTTAAGAAATGGAAAGTTTAACACCCAGGGCTTTTCTTTTGTTACTTTTTCACTTACAATTTATATACTGATTGTTAATGTACAGCTAAAATTTTTACAAAGTGAACATATCTAATACTGCCAGCACTCAGATCAAGAAATAAAGCTTTACCCCAGAAGTCTTCCTCATACTCCCTTTTAGTCATTATTCTCCCTTCAAAAGTAATCACAGATACCTAATTTTGGCCCCTTATGTAAGTCTGACCTATGTGTATTTACAAAGAGAGTTAGGAATCCAGAAGACTAGCCTGTTATTTTCCTTCTTTCCATAGTACTTTTAGTTCAGTGAAACTTCAGAGTCAGAAACAATTTGTTTGTTTGTTTGTTTTTGTTGTGGAATGCTTAGAAATGTGTGTATGTCATTCTAACAGTATTGTTTCTTTTTATGGAGTTTTATGGTTTTCAGAGTGTTTTCTCATATGTTCTTTTCTGATCATCATGACAAGCATGTAAGGTTTATGTATACATTTTGTCATGTAAAAGTGTGATATTAGATGTCAGTATTTGGGATAATAAAATTGGTTCTTGGTAATATATATTACTTAGTAGTATGGTCCATTTTCCTAGAATTAATTAATTTGATTTTTCTTTAAAAATGAATTTTTATACAGGTTCTTGAATTAGTATTGGAAAACTTTGTTTATCCATGGTACAGGTATGTTCTTTCTATTAGACGTTTTTTCTTTAGTGAATGCAGTTAAGTGTGCTAATGAAGTGTTTTCAATGTAGGTCAGGATTTCTTAACTTTGATACTATTGACATTTTAGGTCAAGTAATTCTTTGTTGTGGGGGACTGTCCTGTGCATTGTAGGATATTTAGCAGAACTCCAGGTCTTTTTGCACCTCCTCATCCTTTTATTTGTGACCACCAGAGTGTCTTCAGAGATCGTCATATGTTACCCAGGAGGCATAATTGGCCCTAGAAAAGAACCATATGTATAGGCAATCTAGGCAATCAAACAGTTTAGCGATAGCAGAGAAAAACCTTGGCGCCTTTTTGAAAGAAAATTAGCTTAGAGAATTTCTCATCACTCCTAAATGGTGTGATTTAATATTTTATATGCACTTTTTATATTTGAAATAATTGTACATTTAGAGGATAAATTTATATCTAGATGTTTCATTAAATTGAAGGATAATTTTAATAGAATTTTCCTAGAATATTAATGTTATTCCCAAAGTAACTTTGTTCAGTATCTGCTATGGATATACAAGTGCCCTTTGCCGTGCGGGATGTAGAAAATAATTTAGATCTGAGAAATTAATCTAGTTTGAGAATCAGAAATTCAATGTATATATTTAATAAGTCTTTTCCTTGCAAAAACATCATGTATTTAGTTACATATTTGAATACTTACACCTATATGACTTATAACTGTAATATTTAATGACATCTATCCTCATTTTACATATTTTAAATTTTCTAATTAACACATGCTAGTAGGTGAGATGCTCTATATGTATTACACTTAATATCCAATTTATATACTGCATTTTCCTGAAAAGCTGCGTAAATTAATATTTTTATGTTAATTAAGATATTCTATCTTAAATATGGGATAATTGCTATATAAGTAAAGCTGGTGGAAGTCTTCCTGTAAATGAATCCTGTTGTAAAGACTCCCCCCACCCTGCCCATGCTCTGACCTTTCATTAAAGCTGGCTCTATTTCTAAATGATAAAGTATATATTTTCTCCTCTGTGTAGTTATTGATGCTGACATAGCCACTTCCCTAGGATTGATAGTGGGAAGCTTGGTTAATACAATTATCTTCCATTATTCTGCCAAGGAACTTAATAGCACCATCTTCAGTTCAGGATATCACCACTATACATATCTTTCTTGCTTGTTTTGATTAGAGAAATGTCCTAATTCTTTTAGGGACCTCAGGACTTCAGGAAAATGAAAAGTAGCTCCTCAAAAGAAGGTTGTCAAAATTTGTTTAAAAATTTTTGAGTTTCAGTTTATTTTCTTTCTCAAATAGAACACATTTAAAAAAACTTTTTAGAGTTAATTTATATTATTAATTTATAAATACTTTAAACTAATTTAAAATTTTGTATTAATTTTGTTGCTCCTCCAAAATTATTCATTGTTTTATTTCATAGAAATTTCTTTGATGATGCTTAGGAAATGATTGGAGTATTATAAAAATATGACTTTGTACATGTGGTTGTCTACAGGGAAATACACACTACAACTTAGTGATTATGTCTTAGTACTAGAATTATGAGAGATGTCTATTTTTTCTTTGTACATTTGAATCTTTTATTCTGTAATGTAATGCATTATTTGTTAAAAAAGTGAAGAAAATAGCATAAATAAATAGAAAAAAGAGGAAGTTCTAAACTTTTCTTGGCTTCTAAAAAAAATAGCTGTATGTTTCTCTGAGCATTTAAATACTTGCTTTTTTCCTTAATTGAAGGGATGTAACAGATGATGAGTCCTTTGTTGATGAACTGAGAATCACATTACGATTTTTTGCATCTGTCTTAATTCGAAGGATTCACAAGGTATATATGTATAATGAGAAATTTGGGAATTTGGGGTTTTATTATATTACTAAAGAGATTTTTAAAAATCTTAGTATTACTTTATTCTATGCTGTATGTATTTTTAAAAAATTTTTTAGATTAAAAGATAAATGGGTCACTTTTGATTCATTGATAAATTTTACTTTCCTTAATGCTTAAATATCTTCATTTGTGCTGATTAGAAATAAAAAGACAGCTATAGAAAGAAAAGTCATGTTTCGCTAAGATGAATTTACTGAGTAAATGTTGATGATTATGATCTCCTTTTTAAAAAAAAATTTAGGACATAATATGTGTATGTTTGGATCTTTGCCTGTATATAGTTAAGTGTGTTGGCTGTAGACACACATGCTTGTATATTGCCTTGTCAGTTTGATAGGATTGGTATATTATGTGCTATTAGTAACTAAAGTTAAATCTTGTTAAATGTTTCTATACTTTTTTGAGAAATTAACAATGTAGTCAACCACTGTAGAAAATACATGCAAAAATTATGAATAAGAAGCTCACAAAAGAAAAATTTAAAAATGGCCAATAAATACTTGAAAATATGTTATTTTGATGGGATCAAGCAACAGTATTATTCTGTTGCTTATCAGGTTGGGAATGATAAAGGATGATAATGTTTACTAATGGTGGTTCTAGGAAAACAGGCAAAGCAAATACAGATCGCAATTGTTATAATTCTTATACTGGAAGGCAGTTTGGCAACCTTTATTAAAAGACTTAAAAATGTCTACACTCCCAAATTTAATTCTGTTTTTGTTAATATATTATAAAGAAATAATTAGAAATATATATAAAAATATATGCCCAAAGATTCATTACAGTGTGATTTAAAATAAGGAAAACCAAAAAGAAAAACTGACATCTAATGATAAGATTGTTGATTAAAATACAGTACATGCCAATTACAGAATTCTGTGTGGCCATGAAAAATTATTTTGTAGAATAGTACTTATTTATATGAGAAATTATTTTTCTTAAATTATTTCAAGTGGAATAGGCTGGAATAATATATGTGATATTTTTCCACATTGAAAACAAAGCTCATATAAGCTTGTTAATAGTGTATTAAGGACATATAAATATCCTTATCATTGTTAACTTACTATTGCAGTGGGTTGATGCTGATTTTTGATTATTCCTGTGCATTTCTTTCTGTTCACCTTTGTTTTTTGTTATGAGCTTTTACCATTTAATAAATAGAAAATTGATAAACATTAACCATATTGTTTAAAAAAGGTCAAAAGCAGCTGTATAGACTATTTAATTGGAATAAAAGATTTGGTAAGAAATATCCATTGGTTGATGATAAACCACTTAAATTACAACTTAGAGTAAGTCAAATAAAATTAATTGATCAAAAAGCTGACTCATTATAATACATTTATTGATAGGTATTAGTAGAATAACTCTGCTCTGCTAAGCTTTGAGATAGCCTAGTGATTTTAAAATCAAAGTACTTCACATTTGATTGCGTTATATGTATTTTTTGGTAACAGCTTTATTAAGGTCTACTTTGTATACTGGACAGTTCATCTATTTAAGTGTATAATTCAATGGTTTTTAGCATATTTCTCAATTTACTCAACCATCACCACAATTTTATAACATTTTTATCACCCACAAGGAGACCTCATACGCTTTAGCCATTTACCCTTGTTCTTTCATCTACTTAGATCTAGCCAGCAACTAATCTACTTTCTGTCTCTGTAGCTTTGTTTATTCTGGAGATTTCATATAAATGGAATCATGTAATATGTGGTCTGTTTTGATTGGTTATTTTGACTTGGCATAATGTTTTCAGAGTTCATCCATGTTACATTGTAGCATGCATCAGTACTTCTTTTTTTTTATGTCTGAATAATATTCCATTGTGTGGATATGCCACATTTTATTTATTCATCCAACAGTTGATGGACATTGGGATTATTTCTATTTTTTGACCCTTCTGGATAATGGAGCCGTAACATTTGTGTACAAGTGTTTTTGATGGTTGTGGGCATATATGTTTTCATTTTTCTTGGGTACATATCTAGGAGTATAATTGTTGAGTCAAATGGTAACTCTGTTTAACTTTTTGAGGAACTACCAGACTCTTTTCCAAAGTGGCTACACATTTTACATGCCCACCAGTTATGTGAGGGTTCTATTTCTCTGTCTCCTTTTCACAGCTAATTTTTATCTCATTTTTTAAATTTTAACCATGCCTAATGGGTATGAAGTAGTATCATTGTGGCTTTGCTTTACATTTCCCTCATGACTTACATCTTTTCATATGCTTATTGGCCATTTGTATATCTTTTTTTGGAGAAATGTCTATTCAAATCCTTTTCCTATTTTTTTAACTGGATTGTCTATGTATTATTGAGTTGTAAGCATCCATATATTTTCTTCTGTGTTCTGGATTGTTAAGCTTTCTGTCCTTTCTTTTCATTTTATCTGCATTACTATCCCAGCAGATAAGTAGATCATTATCATACCCATTTTATAGAAAGTAATTTTGTGAAAGTGTCAGAGGTAGTAATTAATGGGATTATGCCTGGTCATCTTATTCCTAGTACAATGTTCTGTCCCTATACTGTTACCTAAATAATACAGATTGGCAGTTTGGGGATAATGGAAATAATGAATCATTGATGGTGGCCTTTTTTAAGATTAAAGTTTAATGATGAACCCATTATTTTACCATTTTGATTCTGACCTGAAGTCTCCAAAATGGAACTTAAAAATGAAAATTTTCATGAGTATTCTCAGAAGATAAGATAATATAAAATGTTTGGAAATGAAAGCATTCTGTTTGTTAAATATTTGTTTATTTGTTAAATATTACAGCAGTTTGAAATAAGTCAATCAGAAGACAAACATTATATAGTCTCATTCATTTGGGGAATATAAATAATAGTGAAAGGGAATAGAGGGGAAGAGAGAAGAAATGGGTAGGAAATATCAGAAAGGGAGACAGAACATGGAAGACTCCTAACTCTGGGAAACGAACTAAGGGTGGTGGAAGGGAGGAGGGCGGGGGGTGGGGGTGACTGGGTGGCGGGCACTGAGGGGGGCACTTGATGGGATGAGCACTGTGTGTTATTCTGTATGTTGGCAAATTGAACACCAATAAAAATAAATTTAGTATTATAAAAAAATGAAAAAAATATTACAGCAGTTTATAGTCATTGAGGACAAGAAGCCAGAGAGAAACGAGGAGTAATATTACTTTGCAATAAGGCATACTACTAAACAAAAATATCCCCCATTACTGAATATGTTTGATCTTATATAGCCAAAAAATATCTGTAAACTGATCTGGGCTTTACTGGTAAAACACTAAAAATTGAGAATTCATGATCATCACACTTACTAGATTTATCAACTTGTGATTTCCCCCCTCCTTTAATATAGAATTTAAAAAATTGAAACGTTAACACAATATTTGGTTGTGATGCAATTTTTCATGCCTTTGATAAAGGGAAAATATAATGTGTTGAATTCTGTAGTAGAAGATAAGCCTGTTGAAATCCAGTAAAAATACTTTTTGGTGATTCATTTAATTTGCAATTTAGTTTTAGTTATTTTTTTTGTCTCTTTTATGTGTGTACATATAAGCCTTCAATCTTCCATCACTAACCTACCATCCATAGTCAGTACAGTTTCCAGATTTTAAGCTGAAAAAATGTCTGTGGAGAATGATGAAATGCAATATTATTCCAAAATAGAATGCTTCTATATAACTTGAAACCAGGATTTATCTTGTTAAACTGAATAAAAAGACTTCAGGAAGACCTTAGGAAACAAATTTGTTGCCCCAAAGGGATGATAATTACTTGAGTTTTTTCTTTGAATGTATTTAAAAGAAACACATTAAAGAAATAAATCAAGAATAAAGATACTATTTTGTGAGAAAATTTAGTATATATATAATGTATGCGTATTAAGATATATTTTCTTTAGAGTGGTAGAAAAACTTCCTAAGTTGCAGTTAGTAAGATCCAAGAATGTAAAGTGCTTTTAAATTATTTTTGAAAGATTCTACATAATATCTAATTTTTAAGATCATGTGTTCTGGTATCTTAATTATAGTGCTCCTGCTGTTTTAATTCAGTGATAATTGTTTTAAAAATTTTATTTTAATGTTGAATTTTTCTAGGTGGATATTCCATCTATTATAACCAAGAAACTTTTAAAAGCAGCAATGAAGCATATAGAAGTGATAGTTAAAGCCAGTCAGAAAGGTAATACAGTTTTCTACTATAAAGTTTGAGTGATTTTCATATACTTTCACCTTAAATACCTAAGTATAAATACTGATGCATTAATTGATGTTCACAAATGCTGTGAAAGTATTCTTTTAAACCAAAATCCTTTTTTTTTTCCAAAATCATTTTTAATACTTTGTTTACAGTATAAGTGATTGTGAAAACTCAGGAATCTATGAAAATTCAAATATAGTTAACTTTTGACTGTCATCATTGATGACTGTCATCTTCTTTTAAGTGATAGTCTGTTACCTTTATTATTCCTTCTGAGTTATCTCTCATCTCTTCCCCCCTTTCTCTTCTTAATGATTTCAACAGTTTTGCCCTATTCCAGCCCATTGCTACAATGTTAATTTCACAATACCACAATTCTCATGTTATCTCTACTAAAAAAAAAATTTAGCGACTCTGTTATGGAGTCTACTTTCTAGTCGGGGATGCCTGGGCTCAGCGCTTTAGTGCCTGCCTTGGGCCCAGGGCGTGATCCTGGAGTCCCGGGATCAAGTCCCACATCGTGTCTGCTTCTCCCTTTGCCTTGTGTCTCTGCCTCTCTTCTGTGTCTCTCATGAATAAATAAATAAAATCTTTAAAAATAAATAAATAAATACTTTCTAGTCAAATATTTTGATTTACTCTTATATTTCACTCTTATGTGTTGGCTGGGATCACCCATTTGCAGTTTTTTGTGAATGTCCCGGCCTTTTTATGGTCATGGTTTGCGTGTAGCATACATTCAGCAAATGCTTTCTGATTGAATGAATGAAATCTTCATTTGGGACTTGTCTTGCTTTTAGATCAAACTGATTTTATTTTATTTTTTTTAACAAAATTACATTGATGCTCTATACTTTCTCTGCAAAACTGATTTCCCGGGATACCTGGGTGGCTTAGCAGTTGAGCATCTGCCTTCAGCTCTTGGAGTGATCCTGGGATTCCGGAATTGAGTCCCACATCAGGCTCCCTCTGGGGAGCCTGCTTCTCCCTCTGCCTATGTCTCTGCCTTTCTCTCTGTGTCTCTCATGAATAAATAAATAAAATCTTAAAACAAACAAACAAACAGATTTTCTTGTGTTTGCATTTAGTATTCTTTGTCAGTGTTTTCCCAGTGCTTTTGGTATTCTTTGTCAGTGCTACATACTATTCCATGTATGTAACTGTGTAGAAGAGGTTTCATGGTCTTATTTTCTGACAATTACTATGTATTATATTCCCCTTCTGGAAATTCCCAGTAAATATTAGCATACCAAAATCTCTGAGTAGTCCTGTAGCAAAATATATATATATATATATATATATATATATATCTTTAACTATTTAAGTAGCTTTAAATTTCCCATACCCCAAATTGGTTTGAGTACAGAACCAATATTCCCTCCTTCATAATATCAGTTAATATAAGCAGTTCATTTGGGGAAATTGTGTTCTAGGTAGAGTTGAAGTCAAAATAAATCAAATTATTAGTTTGTTTTTTGGTATGAATAATTCTTCAGTTATGAGAAGCATTTCAAATTTTATGTATATATTTAAGATTTTTTCTGTGTTTATCATTTAATAACAGCTAAAAGTAGTTTTACCTTCAAAATAGTTAAAAAGAGTTTGAATATGTGTGATTTAATTGTTGAATAAAAATTAACAAATATTGGGACTCCTGGGGTCTTAGCAGTTGAGCGTCTGCCTTTGGCTCAGGGTGTGATTCCAGTCCTGGGATTGAGTCCCACATCAGGCTGCCTGTGAGGAGCTTGCTTCTCCCTCTGCCTATATCTCTGCCTCTCTCTCTCTCTCTCTCTCTCTCTCTCTCTGTCTTTTTTTATTTTTATTTTTTTAAGATTTTGCTTATTCATGAAATACACAGAGAAAGGGAGAGAGAGGCAGAGAAACAGGCAGAGAGAAGCAGGCTCCATGTAGGGAGCCCGACGTGGGACTCGATCCCGCGTCTCCAGGATCACACCCTGGGCCGAAGGCAGGTGCTAAACTGCTGAGCCACCAGGGATCCCCTCACTATGTCTTTCATGAATAAATAAAATCTTTAAAAAAATTAACAAATATCATTATCCTGTCACTGATAAAAACAAACTTGAAGATAGCAATGATCTTATAAGAGCCATTTTGTCAAGGCTACTTTACTATCAGAAAAAAATTGGGAGATGCCTGGGTGGCTTAGTGGTCGAGCATCTGCCTTCAGCTCTGGTTGTGATCCCGGGGTCCTGGGATCAAATTCCACGTCAGGCTCCCCATGGGGAGCATGCTTCTCCCTCTCCCTAGGTCTCTGCTTCTCTCTCTCTGTCTGTTTCATGAATAAATAAATTAAATCTTTAAAAAAAAAGGAAAATATTTGGGGTGCCTGGGTAGCTCAGTTGGTTAAGCCTCTGCCTTTGACTAAAGTCATGATCCCGGGATCTTGGGATTGAGCCCCACATCGGGCTCCTTGCTCATTGGGGAGCTTGCTTCTCCCTCTCTCTCTGCCTACTGCTCCCCCTGCTTGTGCTGTCTTGCTGTCTCTCTTGGTCAAATAAATAAATTCTAACCCCCCCCCCCAAGCCCCACAAAAAAACAACCAGAAAACCCATAGGGGCATCTGGGTGTCTCAGTTGGGTAAGCATTTGCCTTTGGCTCAGGTTGATTCCAAGGTCCTGGGATCCAGCCCCAAATCTGGCTCACTGCTCAGTAGAAAGTCTGCTACTTCCTCTCCCTCTGCCCCTCTCCATGTGTGCACATGCTCTCTTTCTCTCTCTCTCTCACATACAGAAATAAATTCTTAAAAAAACGAAACAAAACAGAAAAAGTGGGGATTTTATTAGTAAATTTATTATTATTTTTAAAGATTTTATTTTTAAGTAATCTCTACCCACAATATGGGGCTCAGACTCACAACTTGGATATCAAGAATCCCAATCCACTGATTGAGCCAGCCAGGTGCTCAGTAAATTTTACTTTTTAGAGCAGGTTAAATTTATAGAAAAATTGAGCAGGAAATATAGATATATATATAGAGCGTGCTCATGTATCTTCATCTTTTCCCCATTAACATCTTGTATTAGTTGCTATATTTGTTACTTTTGATAAACCAATATTGACATAATGCCATCTATCTGCCATTACTGAATAGTTTCACTGCTTTAGAAATCCCCTGTGTTTCACACAGACATCTCCCTCTTTCCTTCATGAACCTCGGGCAACCATTGATCTTTTTGTTGTCTGCTCAGCTTTGCCTTTTCCCGAATGTGATGTAGTTAGAATCATACTATAGCCTTTCCAGACTTCCTTCTTTTATTTAAAAATACGGATTTAAGGCTCCTCAGTGTCTTTTCATGGCTCAATAGCTCATTTCTTTTTATTGCTCAGTTATATTCCAGTGTATGGATATGCCACAGTTTATTTATCCATTCACCTATTGAAGGACATTTTGCCTGCTTCCAAGTTTGGGTACTTATGAATAAAGCTGCTGTAAACATTTATGTGCTGGTTTTTATGTGGGAGAAGTATTTTTAATCTAGTCGTTTTTCTAAAGATAGATACTTTTAACACAGGCTCTGAGTAAATGGAGACACCTTTTATTTTTAGCTGAATTATCAGTTTAAATAAAATTCCTCCATTTTTTTTTATCTCTAACAGAGTGGTGATATATATATATATATATATATATATATATATATATATGAAATTTATTATTTTAGTTTGAAGCTTATTATTGAGTCTTTACAAGGGGGGAGTTGCTAACTTGGTACTATTAATGCAAAAAATGGTTCCCAACTATAAAATCACCATAAAATGCTAGATTTGATTAATTAATAACATTGTAGTTAATGAGATTCATAGAATTAAAAGGCCTGAGATTAGATGGGCTTTTATTTTATTCACATGTCCTGGCATTCTAAATATTGCAACAGTGAATTAGATAGACTTATAAAAAACGGTTTTCAGGTTTTTGAATTTTCATTACTTTAATGCATGGTTTTGTTTTCTAAATTCTTTGGCCTCACAATTGTGCATTGTTCAGAAGTTAAAGGTTTATCTCTTCATTCATATTCCTTTTACTCTCTGTGTTTTCTTTGCAATCTTGTCTCTTGAGAATAGGGATTAGATCATCGTTTTCTGTCTGTGTATGTACTGTTGTAGCTCTTAGAAATACTGAATGTGGGCAGCCCAGGTGGCCCTGTGGTTTAGTGCCGCATTCAGCCCAGGGCCTGATCCTGGAGACCCTGGATCGAGTCCCACGTCAGGCTCCCTGCATGGAGCCCGCTCCTCCCTCTGCCTGTGTCTCTGCCTCTCTCTCTCTGTGTCTCTCATGAATAAATAAAAATCTTAAAAGAAAAAAAAGAAATACTGAATGTATACACATTAGAAGTAGTAGTTTAATTATTTTTTAAAAAAGATTATTTGTCAGAAAGAGGAAGAGAGCACTTACAAGCAGGGGGAGTAGTAGAGGGAGAGTGAAAGGTAGGTTCTCTGCTGAGCAGGGAGCTTGACATGGGGCTTGATCCTAGAACTCTGGGATCATGACCATAGCCAAAGTCAGATGCTTAACTGATTGAGCCACCCAGGTGCCCTGCACTGGTTTAATTTAAATTAATAGTAAATTGCGCAGAAGGACCTTACTTTCCAGTTTTTCATCCTAAAGATATCTCTTTGTCATGGATTCTGAAGACCTTTCCTGTTTTGGTTGGAAACTGCTAAATGATTAGGCAGTAGATGTACTGATGATTAGTGGGAATTAATCCATGCTCTGTTTTCCAGCATCTATATTTTGCTTATATTCTTAATTACAATTTTCCTCCCCTATATTCTTTTTTTTTTCCTATATTCTTTTTTATCTTTTGGTTGATTATTTTCTCATTATCTAGAGCTACAAAAAGCTTTCATGTCTGACAGATGTTGAATAGATTCCAAAATGGTTTTTTAATTTATATATTGTGTGTGAATGCTTAATCACATTGAATGTTATAATTTTTATTCACTTTGCATGGTGACTTTTCAGTGTTTATATCTACTTATATCTACTCTTTATTGCTATGGGAACTGAGGCTCATAGGGTTTATATCATTTGTTCCAGATCATATTAGTTAAGTATAGCTGGAATTTAGCATGGCTTAGTCTTATTTTATATTCTGGCTCATGACAAATTTTTAAAAGGTCTGTGCTCTAAATTCTTGGAGAAAATGCTTAGTAAATAATGGCATAACTATGAAATAAAATGCATTTCTTGTAAAAACTACATCCATCTTTACCAGTCATTCTTTTGTATCTCAGGCACAGGTACCCTTCATTTACCTTCTTACTACTCACACTATTAGAATGTATATATTGGCTTTTTGGGGTTAATGTGCTTGGCATCCTCTTTAAATAAAAATAGAAGAAAATAGTCAAATGCCATTGAATTACAATTAATATTCCTTTCATAGACTCCATGGTTTAAACTTGGCACAAAGTGCAAATAGGGGAAAGCATGACTTGTTTTCTTCCATGTCTTTGAGGTGTGTAAAAAAGAGTGACAATACTATTACATTTAAGTTAAAATACTATTTTGGAGCACTTGGGTGGCTCAGGCAGCTAAGTCTCTGACCCTTTGATTTCGGCTCTGATCATGATCCCAGGATCATGAGATGAAGCCCTGCATCAGGCTCCACACTCAGCAGAGTCTGCTCTAGAAGCTCTCCCTTTTCCTCTGCCCTTTCCCACTGCCCACCCCTCAACTGTCTTTCTAAAATACTAGTTTAATACTTGGCCTTTGAAGAAAAATTTCTTTTAGGGATGCCTGGGTGGTTCAGTGGTTAAGCATCTGCCTTCGGCTCAGGGCGTGGTCCTGCAGTATCAGGATCGAGTCCCGTATCAGGTTCCCTGCATGGAGCCTGCTTCTCCCTCTACCTGTGTCTCCGCCTCTCTCTGTGTCTCTCATGAATAAATAAATAAAAATTTTTAAAACAGATTTCTTTTATTTATTTTTATTTTTTTAAAGATTATTTATTTATTAGACACACACACACAGAGAGAGAGAGAGAGATAGAGATAGATAGATAGATAGATAGAGAGAGAGAGAGAGAGAGAGAGAGAGAGACAGGCAGAGGGATAAGCAGGCTCCATGCAGGGAGCCCGACGTGGGACTTGATCCTGGGTCTTCAGGATCTCGCCCTTGGCTGAAGGTGGCGCTAAACTGCTAAGCCACCGGGGCTGTCCTAATTTCTTTTATTTTTTAACTTATTTAAAAAGATTTTATTTATTTATTCATGAGAGACACAGAGAGAGGCGGAGACATAGGCAGAGCCAATGCGGGACTCAATCCCAGGAGCCTGGGATCACAACCTGAGCCAAATGCAGATGCTCAACCACTGAGCCACCCAGGCACTCTGAAAGCTTTCTTTTAATGTAAGTTTTATCATCAGTTAATATTTATTAAGTAATTTATCTCTTCATAGGACTTATGCCATAAACAGTTCCGTATCTCTTATGTCCTATATTCTGAACAGAAGACCTAGAACTTAACCTAAGAAGCCAGTTTTTATACTATAAGTGCTTTAAAAGTTTACCTGAATGATTTATTTATTTATTTTTAAAGATTTTGTTTATTCATGAGAGACACAGGGAGAGAGGCAGAGACGTAGGCAGAGGTAGCAGCAGGCTCCCTGAGAGGAACTCGACACAGGACTCTATCTCAGGACCTGGAGATCATGGCCTGAGCCAAAGGCAGATGCTCAAGCACTGAGCCACGCAGGCATCCCTACCTGAATGATTTAAATATGAAAGCAGAGACAAAGAATTTTAACAGGGTTTGTGTGTGTGTGTATGTGTGTGTGTGTATGTGTGTTTGCAGAAGATGAACAAGGTATAACTTCTGATAATAGTTTTATATGTGCTAGAAGTTGTCTATAGTTTTTTCCACTTTTCAGAATAAATATTTGCTTTTGTTTAATATCATTTGCAAAGTAGTGATATGAATTAAAATTCTTGTTTGCCATGGGGAAAGGTCTTTTTATCAAATTTTTAATTTATCAATTAAACTTCTGGCAGAAAAAAAAAAACTTCTGGCAAGGAGGAAAATTATTACTCTTATATCCTGTTTGTAAAAAATTTCCCAGTAGAATACATATTGGAAAGAAAGGAGGGCTAGGAAAGGAATGACTGTGTAAATGGTTTACTGTTGGTTAGTAGAAATGGCTGAAGTTATTTAGTGTTGCTTAACTTCTTTCAATATTTATTTATTTATTTTATCTCTATTTATAGTAGAAAATACAGAGTTTTTACAGCAAGCTGCTTTAGAAGAATATGGTCCAGAGCTTCATGTGGCTTTGAGGAGCCGAAGAGATGAATTACACTATTTAAGGAAACTTACTGAACTACTTTTTCCTTATATTTTACCTCCTAAAGCAACAGACTGCAGGTATAAATAGTCTGGAAAATGTCATAGCAGTATTTGCATACCATGCCATATGTATATTGTTATTCTTGATCATAATAGGAGTATACTAAAACTTGAGATGAACCTGTGATGTGAGTAACTTTGCATTTAAGAAATATAATTTGTCAGGTCTTAAAATGCCATTTTAGGTGCTAAGCACTCATGATGTGTTGTGTTACTTAGAGTTTTTTTGAGGGGGAAGTGATCTTGGGAAATCAAGATAAATATGAAGGAAATCAAGATAAATATGAATAAAATCAGCTTTTCTTTTTTTTTTAATCAAATAGGAACTATTCATTTTCTTTTTTTAAATTTTTTTTTAAAAATTAGCTTTTCTTAAATTTGAGATCATTATACTTTGTTAATTCCTCTGTCTTCCATTTTGAAGACATAAACATTCTGACTCAGTAACAGAAAACTTTGAACAAACTAAACAAAGTTTGTGTTTTAAGGTTATACCTCTGAAGAATAATTAGAATTGATCTAGACCATCCTTTTTCTGGTAGAAACATGTTTAGATTATTCCATAAACTTACCTCATTACTTTCACCCTGATAATTCTTAGAGGAGAAACCATGGCTTATTTTTAGTGATGTACTTTTAAATTTTATTTATTTAAGTTTTATTTTTAAGTAATTACACTCAAAGTGGGATGTGAACTTACCAGTTGATCTAGAAACTCCTAGATCAAGAGTTGCATGTACTGTACTGACTGAGCCATCCAAGCATTCCCTGCAGTAATGTACTTTAAATATTACTTTATTTTATTCATAACATAAAATTTGTATCAAAAAATACTAGTATTTTAAATATTTTAATGAAAATATTTTTATTTGAACAGATTAATGTATAATATTTAAATATTATAATTATGAAATGTATTAGACTATTAAAAACTTACTTGCTTTAAACATTAATTTAAAAATGTATTAAATATTTTAAATATTCTGAGGTGGGGATGTTTTCTAATCCTCATCCAAATCCCTCCTGTTAAGGAAATTTTTTTTTCTCTTAAACAGTACTTCTTTTAGCCAGTTCAGGAATCCAAGTATGGTCTGTGAACCACTAGCGTAAATGAGCATTATTTGGGAACTTTAAAGAAATTCAGAATCTGGGGGGACATATCTACTGGATCATAGTCAGCATTTTAGTGAGATCTCCAGGTAAGAACGGATGTAAATCACTAAATATGTACAATATTGTTTGTTTTTCCAGATCCCTGACTTTGCTTTTAAGAGAGATCCTTTCTGGTTCGGTATTCCTTCCTTCTTTGGATTTCCTAGCTGATCCAGTAAGGCTTAAAAAATGGTTTTAAATTGTGGTAAAATACTGTAACATCAAGTTTATCATCTTAAATGTTTTTGTACATACAGTTCAGTGGTATTAAATACACTCATTTTTGAGCAGCCATCACTACTACCCATCTCTAGAACTCTTTTCATCTTACGAAGCTGAAACTCTGTAGCCATTAAATAGTAATTCTCCATTCTTCCTTCTTCCTATATACTGGCAACTACTACCATACTTTCTATCTCTATGAATTTGACTCTTCCTGGTACCTTGTATAAGTGTGTCCATGCAGTATTTGTCTTTTATGACGGCCTTATTTCCCTTAGCATAATGTCCCCAAGATTCATCCACTTTGTAGCATATATTAGAATTTCCTGCCTCATCAAGACTGAATAATATTCCATTGTAGGTATATACCATATTTTGCTATTTATTCATCCATTGCCACTTGAGTTGTTTTTACTTTTGAACCAGTACAATTTTGAAGAAGCAGGACTAATTTATAAACATTTTAAATGCTGAAGTTAGAATAACTTTTTCTTTGCCCACTTTCTTTTTATTGCCCTGCATTGCATTTTTTTTTAAAGATAGATTGATTGATTTGAGAGGGAGAGCATAAGCATGAGCTGGGGTAGGGGTAGAGGGTGAGGGAGAGGGAAAGAGAATCCCAGCAGACTCCCTGTTAAGTGTGGAGCCTAGCATGGGGTTCATTCCTACAATCTTGAGATCATGACCTGAGCTGAAATCAAGAGTCAGATGCTCAACCAACTAATCCACCCAGGCATCCCCTACATTGCAGATTTTTTAAAGTGCCTCTATGTTACATATGTACAACTGCTTTGCCACTGTTCCATTTGTTTCTTTATTTTTCTAGAAACTTTCACAATATGCAGAAAGTTTTGAGAATTTTGGGCAGAATATAGTAATAGAATTAGTTTGACCTATGTGTATTATTTTCCATTAGGATACTGTGAATCATTTACTTATCATCTTCATAGATGACAGTCCAGTGAGTATTGAGTATTAACTTTGAATTTTGATTCATATCTGTCAAAGCATATGATACTTTTATTGAATTAATAAATTCTCTTTCTTCATAGCCTGAGAAAGCAACTGAACTGCCTTCCCCTTTGGTTCCATTCTTGCAGAAATTTGCAGAACCTAGAAATAAAAAGCCATCTGTAAGTATTTTTAGCAATAATGTATATTATTGTTAAAATTTTCATTTACTTGGGGCACCTGGGTGGCTCAAGTCGTTGAGCATCTGCCTTTGGCTCAGGGCATGATCCCGAAGTCCTGGGATCGAGTCCCACATTGGGTTCCCTGCCTGGAGCCTGCTTCTCCCCCTGCTGTGTCTCTGCCTCTTTCTCTGTCTTTCATGAATAAATAAAATCTTTAAGAAAAAATTTTTACTTATTTATTTTTTAAAGATTTTATTTATTTATTAGAGAGAGGGATAGCATGAGTAGGGGGTTCGGGGCAGAGGAGGGAGGAAAAGCAGACTCCCTGCTGAACAGGGAGTCTGACGTGGGGTTTGATCTCAGGACCTGGAGATCATGACCTGAGTTGAAGGCAGACACTTAACTGACCAAACCACTCAGGCTCCCCTGTTATTTTTGATATAAACTATTTTATCAGTGTTGATATATGGACTTGACTTACTCTTCTCCCATATTGTATCAAGGTGCTGAAGTTAGAATTGAAGCAAATCAGAGAACAGCAAGATCTCTTATTTCGTTTTATGAACTTTCTGAAACAAGAAGGAGCGGTGCATGTATTGCAGATATGTCTGACTGTGGGTGAGGCTTACCTGTGCACTTTACCAAAGTCATTTTTACACTTTTTAATGTATTTGTTATATACTGTAAATACATTTGAATGTTTAGATCACATCTGATTTTGTAGTTGTCATGTGTCATTGTACTAAATTTCATTTTACTAGAAAATCTAAATGCATCTTTGAGTTGTCTCTTAAGTGTCCACTCCTTTCCAGATCGGAACATAAGTTATAACTAACTTCAACCAACTGACTTATTTTTAAATATAACTTTAAAAAATTGATATATAATTTACACAATGAAACTCACAGAATTTAAATGCAGGAGATCCCTGAGTGGCACAGCGGTTTGACGCCTGCCTTTGGCCCAGGGCGCGATCCTGGAGACCCGGGATCGAATCCCATGTCGGGCTCCCGGTGCATGGAGCCTGCTTCTCCCTCTGCCTGTGTCTCTGCCTCTCTCTCATTCTGTGACTATCATAAATAAATAAATAATTAATTAAAAAAAAAGAATTTAAATGCAAAGTTTGATGAGTTTTGACACATCTATACATCGGTGTAACCTACACCTTTATCAAGATATAGAACGTTATCATCACCCCCAGAAAGTTAGGACCCTTCCCAAACACTCCCACTCCTCCCAAGCAGTCACAGGTCTCATTTCTCTTGCCACAGATTAGTTTTGACTGTACAGTTTCCTTATATAAATGGAGTACATTGTATGTGCTCTTTTGTGCCTGGCTTCATTAATTCAGGATAATGCTTTTTAAGATTGGTTCATGTTGTATAGAGGAATAGTTTGCTCTTTTTTAGTGTTAAGTAGTAGTCTTTTGTATGAGTGTACCATGGTTTTGTTTTGTTTTTATTTTTGTTTTAATTCATTCCTCTTATGGATGAGTATATCTGTACTGCTTTCACGTTTGGGCTATTATGAATAAAATCGCTCTGTACAATCCTGTATAAGGCTTTCTGTTGAGTGTATGTTTAATAACTGGAAGTAGAATTACTGGGTCACAGGGTAGATATATATTTTGTTTTATGAGAAATTACCACATTGTTTTCCAAAGTTATTGTACTCTTTTACTCTTTCTAGCAAATGTGTGAGAATTCTAGTAGCTCCATACCTTTATCAAAATTTGGTGGTTTTGTCTTTTTAATATTAGCCATTTTAGTGGGTGTGTGGTGGTATCCTATTGTGCTTTTAATTTGCATTTCTCTAATGACTGCTGTTGAACATTTTATCATATGCTTATTGGTCATTCAGTTATCTTTGTATGGTGGAAGTGTTTAAGTCTTTTGCTTATTTTTTTATTGAATTGTTTTTCTTTTTGTCATTAAATTATAGGAGTTCTTTATATATTCTAGATGTAAGTCTTTTGTCAGAAATAAATAATAAGAATATTTTCTTCCAGACTATGGGTTGTCTTTTCATTTTATTTTAATGAGTAGAATTTTAAAATTTTGATGATATTCAATATATATTTTTAATTTTATGGTTAGTGCTTTCAGAGACTTCTATTAGAAATCTTTGTTAACCTAAGTCAAAGTGATATTTGCTCATTTTTCTCTGGACGCCTTATAGTTTTATATTTTACATGTAGGTTTGTGATCTTGAAATATTTTCATGTTGATATTAGGTAGGGGTGGAGGTTCATTTTTTCCCTCCTATGGGTATGGATATCCAGTTTTTCTGATACTGATTTTTTTAAGAGGAATTTTTTTTCCCATCTTGAGTTTCTTTGGCATCTTGTTAAATTATTTGACCATATATGTGTGTCTGGATTCTCTTTTTTTCCATTGATTCATATGTCCGATTTTTGACCAATACCACAGTCTTGATTACTGTGACTACATAGGATGTCTTGAATCAAATTGCCTATTTCCACACACACACACACACACACGCACATACATGCTCATGGATACACATACATATATGCACGCACACAAAGCCTAGTTTGTAGGTTTTTTTTTTTTTTTTTTTTTTTAGAATTGCATTAAATCTATTGTATAGATTAACTCAGGGAGTAATGCCATCTCAACAGTATTTGGTTTCCAGTGTATGTACATGGAATATTTTTCCATTCATTTCATTTCAGCCTTATTTAATTTCTCTCTATAATGTTTCATAGTTTTCACTGTAGGTCTTTATGTTTTTGGAGGTATTTGCATGTGGTATTTAAAATAATTTTAGATTTGTGGCTAATGTACAGAAATAGAATGGATTCTTTTGCATATTGACTCTGTATCCTGTACCATTGCTACATTCACTTACTAGTTCTATAAGCTTTTTTGTACATTTCCTTAAGATTTTCTACGTACATAATTATGTCATTTGCAAATATAGTTTAAGTTTTTCCTTTATAGTGTTTATGCCTTTTATTTCTTTTTATTACCTATTGCAATGGTTAGGACCTTTACTTTAATGTTGAATTGAAGGGGGGTGAAAGTTGACATCCTTAAAAAAAAAAAAAAGTTGACATCCTTGCTTTGTTCCTGCTCTTAGGGGGATATCACTTAGTGTTATTCCATTATGTATGGTAATAGTCTGGGTTTCCTTTTGTAGATATCGTTGATCAGATTGAGAAAGTTTCCTTCTCTTCCTGGTTTGCTGAGAGTTTTTATCATGAATTGATACTAAATTTTTTGAATGTTTTTAATGCATCTCAGTAACCTATTTTATTGTCATGGAGTTATTTCCATGTGAAGCTATAGTGATGTCCTCCCTTTATTGGTAATTTGTACTTTCTTTTTCTTAATCTCTAGTGCTAGGGGTTTTATCAAATCTATTAATATTTTCGATTTGCTAATTTTCTACTTTTATTTTTATTTTCTTCTAATTACATTGAGTTCAGTTTGCGTTTCTTTTTCTGGTTTCTTAATTTTATTCCTGGCTTCTTTTTGAATACAGGGTTTTTAAAAACTATAAATTTCTGTCTATGAATTCCTATATCTAAATTTCCAAAATTTTGGATATTTGAGTTGTTTTTTTTTTTTTTTTAAAGATTTATTTATTTTAGAGAGAGAGCATGAGAGTGGGATAGGGGCAGAGGGAGAGGAAGAGGGAGAACTTCAAGTAGACTTTCCAGTGAGTGGAGCCTGATGTGGGTCTTGATCTTATGAGATTATGACCTGAGCTGAGATCAAGAGTTGGATGCTTAACTGAGTGAGCCATCCGGATGCCCCTGTTGTTTTTTGTTTTTCGTTTTTGTTTTTGTTTTTATTTTTTTTAAAGATTTTATTTATTTATTCATGACAGACACAGAGAGAGAGGCAGAGACACAGGCAGAGGAAGAAGGAGGCTCCATACAGGGAGCCTGACGTGGGACTCAATTCCGGGTCTCCAGGATCATACCCTGGGCTGAACTGCTGGGCCACCAGGGCTGCCCTGTTTTGGTTTTTAAATAAGCTCTACACCCAGCATGGGGCTTGAACTCACAACCCTGAGATCAAGAATCACATGCTCTACTGACTAAGCCCCCAAATATGTGATTTTTTTTATTGTAATTAAGTTTTAAATATTTTTAAATTTCCCTGTGGTTTATTCTTTGACTTAAATTTACCAACATTTGGAGATTTTTGAGATATCATACTGTGGTGGTTTTCTAATTTAATATTGTTATTAGGAGTGCCCGGGTGGATCTGACTCTTGATTTCGCCTCAGGTCATGATCTCAGGGCCCAGGGAACAAGCCCTATGTGGGACTTATTGCTCATCTTGGAGTCTGCTTAAAGATTCCTTATCTCCTTTGCCCCTCCCCAGTCTCCACCCCTCTTGGCTTGTGCATGTGCGTGCTCTTTCTCTTTCTCTCAAATAAATAAATCTTTAAAAAAAATACTGTTCTGAAAAAAAAATACTGTTCTGGTCAGACAACTTATTCTATGTGATTTCAGTCTTTTTCAAATTTATTGAAACTTGTTCTGTAGCTCCTCCATATGTCTTAATGTTCCCTGTTTGTGTGAGAACTTCTGTTTTGCTTTGTTGGGTAGTGTTCTATAAATGTCAATTTGGTTAAGTTGATGGATTGTCTAAAAATATTCTGTATTCTTTATGATTTTTTAATGGATTCGCTGTTTTTACCTTCAGTTTTGTAATTTTTTTCCCATGTATTTTGAACATTATTATTAGGTGCAGACACATTTAGGATTGTTATATCTTTATGATGAATTTGTCCTTTTATCATTATAAAATGTTCTTTTCTCTGGTAATTCTCTGTCTTGAAGTCTACTTGATTTGGGATTAATATGGCTACATTGTTCTTACAGAGGGGCTTGCATTGTATGTCTTTTTCTATATGATTAAAGTGTTTAATATTTCTTGTAAACACCATAGAGTTGAATCTTACTTTAAAAAAAATCTAGTTTGTTAATCTTTGCTTTCTAGTCAGGGTATGTAATATACCTTTACACTTAATGTAATACTTCTATGTTTATTGCTAGGTCTTTTTTTTTGTTTTTAAAGATTTTATTTATTTACTCATAGAGACACAGAGAGAGAATGAGAGGCCGAGACACAGGCAGAGGGAGAAGCAGGCTCCATGCAGGGAGCCTGACGTGGGACTCGATCCAGGGTCTCCAGGATCACGCCCCGGACTGCAGGCGGCGCTAAACCGCTGTGCCACTGGGGCTGCCCCTATTGCTAGGTCTTTGATCCTGGTATTTGTTTTACATTTGTTCCATATATTCTTATTCTTCTTTTACTTCTTTCTTGCCTTTCTTTGGGTTACTTGAGTATTTTTTAATATTCCATTTTATCTCTTCTATTGGCTTTTTATTTATGTCTCCTTTATTTTCTTCTCTTGTTTCTTCTCTTTAGTGGTTGCTCAGAGATTGCATTGTTAGTCTTTATCACAGTCTCCATTTAAAAAAAATTAACTGCTTCAGGAACACTGTAAGGACTTCAGTGTACTTCAGATTACTCCCTTCCTACCTGATGTGCTGTTATATATTTTAATTCTGTGTAGGCTATAAACTCTACAACACATTGGTATTTCTTCTTTAAACCTTCCATCCCCCACCCTCATTTTGGCCCTAGAGTTATTGGTATATTTACCTTTCTGGGGCTTTTTATTCCATTCTGCAGAATCAGGTTTCTGTTATCATTTTCCTGAAAGAAATTTTTTTTTTACATTTATTATAGCACCAATCTGATGGAAGTAAATTCTCTTAGGTTTTGTCTTTTTTTTTTTTTTTAATTTTATTTGTTTATTTGAGAGAGAGAGAGAGAGAGAGCACAAGTTGGGGGCAGAGGGAGAGAGAGAAGCAGGCTCCCTCCTTAACTCAATCTCATGACCCTGGGATCATGACCTGAGCCAAAGGCAGACACTGAACTTACTGAGCCACCCAGACACCCCAGTTTTTGTCTTTTTGAAAAGATGTTTATTTCGTATTCATTTTGAAGGATATTTTTACCAATATGTAATTCTAGGTTGACAGGTTTTTCTTTCACCATTTTAAAGTTATTCTTCGGGTAGCCCCGGTGGCGCAGTGGTTTAGCGCCACCTGCAGCCCAGGGCGTGATCCTGGAGACCCTGGATGGAGTCCCATGTCGGGCTCTCTGTGTGGAGCCTGCTTCTCCCTCTGCCTGTGTCTCTGCCTCTCTCTCTCTGTCTCTATGAATAAATAAATAAAATCTTTTAAAAAATAAATAAAGTTATTCTTCCATTATCTTTTAGGCAAAACCTCTTTCTTTCTTTTTTTCTTTCTTTCTTTCTTTCTTTCTTTCTTTCTTTCTTTCTTTCTTTCTTTCTTTCTTCTTTCTTCTTCTTCTTCTTCTTCTTCTTCTTCTTCTTCTTCTTCTTCTTCTTCTTCTTCTTCTTCTTCTCCTCGTCCTCCTTCTTCTTCTTTCTTTCTTCTTCTTCTTCTTCTTCTTCTTCTTCTTCTTCTTCTTCTTCTTCTTCTTCTTCCTTTTCTTCCTTCTTCTTTCTTCTTTTTTCTTCTTCTTCTTTCTTCTTTCTTCTTCTTCCTCTTTTTCTTCTTTTTCCTGTAAAAGAGGGAGGTTGGGGAGGAGGGTTGGAGGGAGAAAGAGAATCTTAAGCAGGCTTCATGCCTAGCATGAACACTGATGTGGGGCTCGATCTCATGACCATGAGATCATGACCTGAGCTGATATTAAGAGCTGGACACATAGCCTACTGACCTCCCAACTGCCCCAATACTATTCTTTCTAATGAGAAATTACCTTCCATTCTTACGTGTATTCCTCTCTATATAATATGTCCCCCTTCTCCCTGGCTGGTTTTATAATTTTCTCTTTATTTTTGGTGTGCAGAAATTTGACTATACTATGTAGTTTTCTTTTTATATGTTCTGCTTGGATGTTACTGAGTATCTTGAATATGTAGATTGGTGTCTTTTATCACTTTTGAAAATTCTTGGCTGTTGGGGCACCTAGGTGGCTCAGTCGGTTAAGCGTCTGATTCTTGGTTTCAGCTCAGGTCATGATCTGGTGGTCATGAGATTGAGCCCTGTGTTGGGCTCTGCTCTGAGTGTGGAGCCTATTTAGGATTCTCTCTCTCCTCTCCCTTCCCCCCACCACTCATACACTCTCTTCCCCTCAAAATCTAAAAAAAAGAAAAAAGAAAATTCTTGGGTGTTATCTCTTTGAATATTTTGCCTCATTTTCTTTCTCCTTTCTGTTCAAGGCTCCAATTATATGCATTTTATTATTATCCCAAGATAATTTTTTTAAGAATTAAAAAAATCCTCTTGCTTCAGTTAGATAATTAAGAATTAAGGGTGAACTCCATATTAATACATCTTATAGAAAGAAAAGGGAGTCAATATTTTGTCTATTCTACTGCTGTCATCTGATTTTAGAGAAAAAGATATATTTGTTCACACACTCAGTTCCATCAGTAGTCTGTAGTCTCCATGGTGGAAGAAAATATAATTTAAAAACATTGACTGAGGGATCCCTGGGTGGCACAGCGGTTTGGCGCCTGCCTTTGGCCCAGGGTGCGATCCTGGAGACCCGGGATCGAATCCCACATCGGGCTCCCGGTGCATGGAGCCTGCTTCTCCCTCTGTCTATGTCTCTGCCTCTCTCTCTCTCTCTCTCTCTCTCTCTCTCTCTCTGGGACTATCATAAATAAAAAAACAAAAAAACAAAAAAAAATTGAAACTTAAAAAAGCCTTAGGTTTCACTGGTCTTTAGTGAATTAGATTTCAAAATATTAAAACACTTGGTATAAAAAATTAATCGAATATGTTCTTTAAACAATTTTTAGAAATGTGTTTCCTAGTCTAAATTTTAGAAATTTTATTTCTGTGCAAGTATTTACATATTTTATATTAACATATAAAATATTTGATTAACTGAGTTTCTCTTTCATCTGGATATTTTATTTTCAATTAAAATTTTTAAAAAAGCTTTAAAATGATGAATAGATTGTAATTGCTTTTAATATTGATTACAATTAGACTGGGAACAGTATATTATGTATTATATTGTATTGAAATAATTCATTTTTTCTTACTTTTTCCTAATTTTCTAGAGGAATTCAATGATAGAATTTTACGACCGGAGTTATCAAATGATGAAATGCTATCTCTTCATGAAGAGTTGCAGAAGATTTATAAAACATATTGTTTGGATGAAAGTATTGACAAAATTCGATTTGATCCCTTTATTGTAGAAGAGATTCAGAAAAGTAAGTCAAAGATGTTGATAAGAACATACTTTTACAACTTTTAAAGTTCTCAGTTTCTCCTGTGTTCAGTGTTTATTATTGCAACAGCTGTGAGGTGCATAGGTAGCCATTATCCTATTTAACTAATAAGATGAAGGCTTTGATGAAATTAACTCCCAATTAACCTCCAGAATTGAAGGTTGGTTATTCTGATTCCTCATCCTAGTTTGACTTCTATACCTTACAAATGGATTTTCTGCAAAACAGTTCTAGGACTGTTTGTATGCTCTTTCACTGTTATTTTATACTAATATATAATGTACTTATGGTATTCATAAACAATTCCTGCAATATAATTTTTTTAATAGTTGCTGAGGGACCATATATAGATGTTGTGAAACTTCAAACTATGAGATGTCTTTTTGAAGCATATGAACATGTACTGTCTCTCTTGGAGAATGTGTTCACACCTATGTTCTGCCACAGTGATGAGGTAAGTCAAAATATTAATCATGTTTAAGGATTTTTCTCTCTTTTTTTTTAAAGATTTATTTATTTATTTATTTATTTATTTATTTATTTATTTATTTATTTATTTATTCATTCATTCATTCATTCATTCATGATAGACAAAGAGAGAGAGAGAGAGAGAGAGGCAGAGACACAGGCAGAGGGAGAAGCAGGCTCCATGCTGGGAGCCCAACGCGGGACTCGATCCCGGGACTCCGGGATCGCACCCTGGGCCAAAGGCAGGCGCCAAACCACTGAGCCACCCAGGGATCCCCAATGTTTAAGGATTTTTCTTCAAAATTTAGGAGTGGCTTTTTTTTTTTTTTTAAGATTTTATTTATTCATGAGAGACACAGAGAAAAGGCAGAGATAAAGGCAGAGGGAGAAGCAGGCTCCATGCAGAGAGCCCGATATTGGACACTATCCTGGGACTCTGGGATCATGCCCTGAGCTGAAGGCAGACGTTCAGGTGCTGAGCCACCCAGGTGTCCCTAATAGTGGCTTTGACATCAGTAGATGAGTGATTCAAATAACAAAATAAACAGAAAAATAAAGCATGATTAAAAAAGAGAATACTCTTTTTAATTATATAAATTAATGGAGATTAAAAGGTTTTTGGTTTTGTTTTATTTGAGAAAGAGAAAGGGAGCATGAGCATGTGTGACAGGCAGAGGGAGAAGCAGTCTCCCTGCTAAGCCAGGAGCCCAACATGGGGCTTGATCCCAGGATGCTGGCATCACAACTTGATGGCTGAGCCACCCCGGCACCTTGAGGTTAGAGGTTTATTATAAAAATGATTCTCAATACCAAAACCATATTTAGATATATTTGATTAGGTAGATAGTGACCAGATTGGTCTACCTGATTTGCCATATATTCTTGAGTGGCTTTTTAATACCGTGGTGATGGTGAAACTCCATTCTTCTTTTATATACTTTATGGACATGTGGAAATCAAATGGCCTGAATATCTCCATTTGCAGTATTGTAATCCTTATTCTATTTGCCTATAGTTATTTTCACTTGATTTAAAATTTTTTTCTTTAAACTGGAAAGTAGTAAGGTCAAATATCATGTTTTAATATAAAATAGTTTAATCAATCATAATTTTTTGGAAGTATTTCAGGCAACTTTTAAGAGGTGCAGAATCACCAACACGCAATTCAAAATTGAACAGGTAGGTATGTTAAGTCTGTAAAGCTTGTTTTTGTACTTGTTGATGCTAATCATTCTTGTAATAATATTGTTTTTATTTGTTTTTCTTTGACTCTGTGGTTCCATTGCTGCATAAGTAGACAAGACATTTTATTAAGTAATTATAGAGTTGTACTATATATGGTAACCCAAAAATGCCTGAAATTCTTTTAGAAAAACTTAACAAGATACACACCATTGCCTTGCTGTTATCATGATTAATATACATTGGTGCTTGATCACCTGCTTTGCTGGAGCCTATAGACCACATCCATAAATGAAATCTGTAGATAACTCAATTTTAGACAGTTTTCTTCCTCCAGAGAGTACATTTTATTAGAGTATATCCTGGTTACAAATTTGGAGAGGTTTTTATCCCTTTCTCTTCTCACTTTCTGGAAATACATGTGTGCAGTTAAATAACTCAAAGAAATAAAAGAAGAATTAATGTCTTGATTTGCCTTTACATCATTGTATGTACAAAATGGACACAGGTCACATCTATAAATCCATAGAATAGATATTCAAATTGTTCTCAATACCTTCCTTTTTTTTTTTTTGAGCAAGAATCTAATATATAAATAAGTTAGGGATGTGGTGCAAAGACAGAAGTAGATAGGTCAGAAACTGGAGTAGTTTTTTAGATAGTACAAAGAAAAATGTTAAAACCGTAGCCATGGGGAGAATATATTGCATTTTTTTGCTATAACCAAAGGATGTAGAAACATTTGAATTTTTTGATTATTGAGTTTATATATTACAATCATGAAACATTGACTTAACAGAAATTCCATCCATGTTGTTTAAAACAGCATATTTTACCCAATCCAAATACCTCTTCTTTGATTTGAACACTTTTTAAAGACTTTAATTGAATTTTCCAGCATCATTTGAGAAGCAGGTTGAATTTATTTCTGTTTATAGACATAGGATATTTGGAGTGCCGTAGTAGGGTATTAAGCTTAATCACTTTCCTGTAGAGGACCATTTAAGGAGAAGTGGTTCTTTGATTCCTATAAGCCTGCCCAGTGGCTAAGTCAGGGTCATAACTTCAGAGATGGAAAGCTTTCTTTGCCACTTTGAGAATGCCTGGTTGTCTTCAACATACTACATTAATTTTGCAGTTTTTAAAATATAAAATAAACAGGAAAAAATGTGGACTCTATTCATTCTGGGTACTGATTATGGTCTTTAAAAGTATGTTTTTCTTTGTATTGACCTGATTTAATTTAATTTTTATTTTTTTATTTTTTTAATTTTATGATAGTCACAGAGAGAGAGAGAGGCAGAGACATAGGCAGAGGGAGAAGCAGGCTCCATGCACCGGGAGCCCGATGTGGGATTCGATCCCGGGTCTCCAGGATCGCGCCCTGGGCCAAAGGCAGGCGCCAAACCGCTGTGCCACCCAGGGATCCCTTGACCTGATTTTAATATTAACTGTCAGTCTTGCCAGGGCTCTGCTTCTGTGATATTTACTCATTTAACTATATAGAATAAATAAAAGATTTATGTAACATTCTTTCACTGAAAATTTAGAGAAGCATTGCTAATTTGCTAAGTGACTTCAAATATGTAAAGTATTCATATATTTTATATCTACATTCTATTTAATTGTAATTTAAAAGTAATAATTTTAATGCATATTATTGTTAACCTGTTCTGTTTCTTCCATACTCAATGCATAACTTAAAAAATATATTTAGGGTTTTTTTTTGTTCACTTTGTTTCTTAAAACATATATTTCAGAGTACTCAAACTACAAATGTGTGAAACACATAATTATATCTAGTATAGACTTGAATTTCACGTTGGAAAACACTTGTTTTCTGTGCCAAGTGTTTGGATAGAGGCTTAGTCTCTGTATACTTTCTATCATATCAAACAAATAGTGTGCCTAAATGAGGGCAAAGAAGTACAAAGTTATTTCTTGACATACTAGTTTAAGAACTTTTTTTAAAATGATCTAGAATTCATACTCTTCCTCCCCCCAAAACAGCCTTGGTACTTTCTTTTTCCTTTATTATGTTATAAAAATTCTTTACTTTTGCAAAGATGAATGCTATCTAGTCGTATAACTTTTAAAGCTTTTAAATCTTGTTTTGTGTTCTAAAGTGAAACTTGTTTAATATCTGGGCTTTCTCTCTCCTTTCCTTATATAATTTCACATATCTGTTACTGCAGAGGTAGCCTAAGTTTGGATGATTTTCGGTAAGTCTTGGGACAGCATGTGATTTTTTTTTTTCTGTATAAATTATCTATTTAAGTTCAGAAAGTATACCCAGAACAACCTAAGTACAACAAAAAGGAAACACTGCTGTTACTATTGCCTTTATATCACTTACTTGAGATATCCTTTATTTTTTAAAAATATTTTATTTTAATTTAATTTAATTAACTTATACTGTATTATTAGTTTCAGGGATAGAATTTAGTGATTCATCAGTTGCATATAACAGCTGGTGCTCATTTCATCAAGTGCCCTCTTTAATGTCCATCATGCAGTTACCCATCCCCCTTCCCACCTCCCCTCCAGCAAGCCTTAGTTTGTTTTCTATGATTAAGAGTCTTTTATGGTTTGCCTTCCTCTCTATTTTCATCTTGTTTTTGGGATATCCTTTTAAAATTAACCTCTAATTTGCTTCTAGATAACTCCTTTTTTGTTTTCTTTCTTTCTTTTTAAAAAGATTTTATCTATTTTTTGAAGTAGACTCCATGTCCAGTAGGAGGATTGAACTCACAACCCTGAGATCAAGAGTCTCATGCTCTACCAGCTGAGCCAACCAGGCCCCCCTAGATAGCTCCTTTTTGAAATAGCATGATATATGTCGTAAAATAAAAATGTAATTTTAAGATAAAATGAAAAGCTAGTATCTAGCTGTTCAAAGCTGTTGATTCATTTTTTGTTAATTGGTCTTGCTAAATTACTTGTAGAATTACTTGTGTTTAAAGAACTTTTTTTTTTAAACAAGAAGTATGCTATTTGTATATTTCTGGAGATAATCAGAAGTGAGATATTTTTTAAAATGTCAGATTTCGAAAAGCTGAATTTCTTATGATCTAAATTCTAGATATTTTAGTAAAATTTTGTTGATATTTTTGTAATTGGTTTTAGAAACACTCTCAGAATTATGTTTATAGTTCTGGATTTAAAAAGAAACCACCGATTGTATGCTTGTTTACATAAAATAATCTTCTAGTTTAAGTACCCTTTTTACTACTATTTATTAAGAGTTTTTCCAGTTTTAAAGTAAGTTTGATTTGCTCTTTAGACATATATAAAATGCACTTGTCATTAATGTACCAGGTATATTTGAAACTTGATCCATTTTGTTTTTGTAATTATTGCATTATTTCAAAAAATAAATTTTGCTTGTAGGAGTAATAGCTATGCATGAAATTAAGCATCCAAAACAAACTTTTCTGGATTTTAAAAGTCGTTTTTATTTGGTTAGCTGTTGTATGGGCAGCATTACATAGTATGAGTTTTAAATTGAGTAAAAGTTCATTTTTACTTGTTGAAACTTGAAACATAGGCTGTAACAGGAAATTTTTGCTGCTTTTTGGCTTATTTTTTGTTGTAGTTGCTTTCCAGCTATATCTGCTTTTAGAAACTTACTTTTGAAAAAAAATTACAAAACCAACATTTAATATTTTATGTCAGAGCAGGCTTCCTTAGGCTACATTTGCTTTTGTACTTAGGTTTATAGCTAATCCTCCCCTTGGGCACTTTATTTTTTCTTTTTGTAACTTTGAAGTTAAGTAAGATGCATTTTATACTTCATTCCTCTTTTATTTCATACTCCTCCTGAGTATTAGTATTTATATGATTATAAAATTAAAATTTGCTTAAAAATATTCAGTTCTAGAGGACAGATTTTTTTTGTTAAGATATAAAATGAACTGAGGTCATAATTTTATATATTTTTTCTGTTACATTATGTTATTTTAGCAGTACAGTTCTAAATGGATACATTGTTTTGAATGTTGGTCTTACCACATTTTTTTGTTGTTCCAAAATATATATGGCAGTGAGAACTATGTACCACTAGGGGGCTCTCACCTTTTAAACATTTTAGTTCAGTTAATGTTTTAACTAGTAGGTAAATTCTAAACATTTATTCATATTTTAAATAAATAAATATTGTCCCATTTGTTCATACCCCCAAATTAAAACTTTAAATGTCATGTCACTTTTGGCTTCTGAGATGTTGAGACTATGTCTATGACTATGTCTATGACTATGACTATGAACAAAAAGTTATGTTAGCTTTACCTTTAGTTTACACTTTTCACAGCTATTTGTATTGTAGTTTAGAATAAACTAGATTGTTGTGATAATTTACTATGTACTTGATACATTTTTGTTTAACATTTAGGAGCACACAGAAAAGAGGAGAATCATTTGGAATCAGCAGAATAGGTAGCAAAATTAAAGGAGTATTCAAAAGTACCACAATGGAAGGAGCTATGTTGCCTAATTATGGGTTAACAGAAGGTGAAGATGACTTTGTAAGTAAAATTCTTCAATTTGATGTATGTATAAATTCCGACCTACAGTGTCATAAAAAACTGGACATGCTTCCTTTCTGTTTTCCCTATCCTTTATTTTACTTATTTCAGATTTCTTTTCTATCCTTTATTTTTTCATTACTTTATAGATTCATAGTACTAATCTAATTTGTAAAGATCCTGAACACCAGGTTAATTGCCTGTTAAGGCCAGAGTGGTTTCTGTTGAGTTGAGATAGTTATAATAGTCAAATAATTTACCATCTTATGGTTAGAGTTTTACTTTGTAGTTTCATCTCTTTCCAGCCATAGATCCAGGCAAACATTTGTTTTCATTGTTTTTGTTTTTGTTTTGTTTTCCACTTTTTTAAAAAAGATTTTATTTATTTATTCATGAGAGACACACACCCAGAGAGAGACAGAGGCAGAGACACAGGCAGAGGGAGAAGCAGGCTCCATGCAGGGAGTCCAACGTTGGGACTGGGACCCCACGATCACTCCCTGGACCAAAGGCAGGTGCTAAACCGCTGAGCCATGCAGGCTGCCCCAGGCAAATTGTTGATAAATGTCCTTACCTCTTGCTACTCAAACTGATTGGTGTATCAAAAGCATCAGCATTGCCTGGGAGCTTCTTAAAAGTACAGAATCTCTGGTTCTATTCTAGACCTACTGAATCAGTTTGCATTTTAACAAGATTTCTGGTTAATTTATGTACACATTACACCCACCATGCAATTTTATTCCGTGATCTTTTGGACATGTTGTCCTTGAAATACCCTTCCTTTATTTATGTAGAAAATTTATACTTTCAGAATCCAGCAGCTTCCCATAGACCCTTATCTGGGTCCCCAAGTAGAATTGAATATTTCCTCCTTTGTGCCCCTTCTTAGATCATATGTTAAAGTATGCACCAAAAATTATATTTGAAATGATGTTTATGATTGTTTTCCTTACTAGTTAGTTCCATAAGGATAGATACTGTCTCATTTGTACTTTTTACTTATTGAACAAATCTTTATTGAACAGAGTTCCTGGATCCTTATTTTGCCCTTTAATGACTGAGCAGTGGGGATAAAAATGATGATTAAGATAGAGACTTTGCCCTTAAGAGATTTACTAACCTGGTTATAAAAGGTTAAATAGGGCAGTCCTGGTGGCGCAGAGGTTTAGTGCCGCCTGCAGCCTAGGGTGTGATCCTGGAGACCCTGGATCGAGTCCCACGTCAGGCTCTCTGCATGGTGCCTGCTTCTCCCTCTGCCTGTGTCTCTGCCTCTCTTTCTATCTATCTATCTCTATCTCTCTCTGTGTCTCTATGAATAAATAAATAAATAATCTTTAAAAAAATAAATAAAAGGTTGAATAATAGTGATTGGATTGGCAATGACTAATAAAAAGGAATGAGGGAGAGAAGAGTAAATAAACCCATTTTTCTCTTTGTACTTCTTCCTTTTGACCTCTGTCCCATTGCATGATGAATTTTAAGGAGTTTAAATGATTCTTCTTGATTTAAGTGGAAGATTTAAGTGGATTTAAGTGGAAGATTTAAGTGGAAGATTCTTCTTGATTTAAGTGGAAGAAAATCTTAATTCTTTTTTTTTTTCCTTCTTAGGTTATCCAAATGTAACATTTTTTTTCTGTTTATGCCCTTGTCTTTTCTTAAAAGTGTGGGTAAGAAGAAAGACAGTAGACAGAGGATATAGTCTTTTTTCAAAATAATATTTATTTGTGTATTAAAAAAATTTAAGCATATTATAGTCTCAATTTTTTAGTAATATGGAAAAGTGGAAACAAATTTAAAATACCATCCATAATCCTATCACTCAATTGCCATTTCTGTTAACATTTTGGTGATTTAAAAAAAATACCTTTCCTTTCTCATCCACATAGATTAGGCTACATTATGTATACAGTTTGCTATCCTACTCTCCCCACTTAATATTACAATAAAAGCATTTACCCATGTTACTATGAACTTTCCAAAACAGAATTTTTGTTCAGGAAGATGTACATTTTATTTTTTGTTCTGACTGATTACTTGAAAGATAAGTTGGTTTTTGTTTGTTTGTTTGTTTGTTTGCTTCAGGAATGGGAGGATAGTCTTTAAAAAGGTGAGGGAATTCTGTGTTATAGTGGCCCAAGGAAGAAGAAAATTCTTGATTTGGAACCAGAGATAAGTAATAAGGAAAACTATGGGAAGAGAGCAAACTAATCCCTAATCCTCTGAAAAGAAAAGGTAGGGGTGCATAGGCTGTTGATCCAGACTAAGATGATGCCAGTTGTGATTTAGAGGGCACTGTGCTAGTTTTTTTAAGTTTGTTTAAGTAATCTCTACCCTAACATGGGGCTCAAACTCATGACCCCAAGATCAAGAGTCACATATTCTTCCAACTGATTGAACCAGACACCCCAGTACTTGTGCTAGTTCTAAGTTGTGGGACGTTGGGAGTCTTCTTTATCTTTTTTAGGAAGTTTAGAGGAAAAGGGAAATTGCCAGTCTCACTACCAGGGTTAAGGTGGTTTGTGATGCAAATTTGGGACCTAGAAAACATTTTCTTTTAGAAACCTCGATGTGATCATTTGGTGGCAGTGCCTCCTTCCTATTGCTCAATTTTATTGTGATTTGGCTTCTTCACAAATGAAATGGGGATGATAGTATCTGACTTACATAAGGTTGTTGTGAGAATTAAACAAGTAACATGTACAAAGTGTAGGACAGCACTTAGCATATGGTAAGCGCAGTAAGCACTATAAGAGCATCAATTCTTATAAATGTATGAATGTAAATTATGGATTAGATTGGCATATGTATGCTGGCCTGGAAACCAAAGTCCACTGCATAAGATTGAGTCTATTTGAAAATGTGTATCTGTCCCAAGTTCAGAAATTATTTGCAAATAAATTGTTGGAATCTATTAATATGTTGGCAGTTATCTCTGTATAGGAAAAGATAAGGAAAAGATAATAATGAGGAACACTAGTATTTCTTAAGGAAATAGGGGGGCATCTTTTTGCCTTTTATCCTCTGCCATCCTTACTCTCCATCCTTTCTGTAGAGGGAAGATCTATATGAAAACAAAAAAGTATTTGGTTTTCCTTTTCGTAAAATTTTGGTTTATATTACTTACTTTGAAATAACATTAAAGGAAGTTCTAAAAATTCTTTAGAGAAATACTGCCCTAAAGATTATTCATTAAACTTTTTTGATATAAATACCATTTAAATGGTAACAGTAACAGTAATACATTTAAAAAATTTGTCCTTTGTTTCATGAATAGTTTTATGTTGCTAAGAATTTTGTTCTCCTATTTTGTTTCTTAGATTGATTTTGGAGAACTTTTTATTTAAGAATTTCTTTCTTTTTTCTTTCTTTCTTTTTTTTTTTTTAAGTAAATTCTACACCCAACTTAGGGCTTGAATTTGTAACATTTAGTTAGATCAAGAGTCCCATGCTCCACTGACTGAGCCAGCCAGGTGCTCCAAGAATGTCTATTTTTTGGCATTTAGTCAGCTTGTTAAACAAATTTATTTTATGATTGTCTACCCTTCTGATGTCTCATAAACTGAATCCATTGACAAAATTACAGTTGTAATAGCCATAGAAAATGCTACTTGGTATCTCAGGTCCAAGTAGTGGAGCGGGCATTTCCCTCACACATTCCTCTCTCTTTTTCTTTCAGGTATATAAGGAGATAGCCTTATCCCAAAAAAAGGCAAAACCGAACTCATATCATCTGTCTTTATAGTTTCTTTTTAGGAATTGAAGGCTTTGTTTTCAATAGAGTATTAAGAGGTCCTCCTAAGATCATTAACATTCTTACTAGGGATTATGGAAAGCCATTTTAAGGCAAGAATAGAAAAGGATAATTTTTAAGGGGCTTTGTAGGGGAGTAAAAGAACTCACTTAGAACAGAGGTGACTGCCAGGTGTGGGAAGAAACTAGAACTGAGAGTGAAGGTAGGGTGCTAAAATTCTGCAAAGAAGTCTCTCTCTACTACTCATTTGCTCTTAATAGACTATTCAGAATTTTCTTAAGTGCAAACAGTCTTTGATTGTCTTAAAAGAAGTATGTTCAAGATGGATGTGTTTTATCTGTAATATTTTGCCTTCTTTAACATGAATTTGTGATGTCTAGGTGATCAGGTGTTTTAATGTGTTAGTTCAGAGGTTTTCTTCTAATTTAATTAAGTAGAGACAGTTTTTCCTTCTTTCTGTATCTATATTTTTAGAACATGTTTAAAGTTCCTTTTTAAAAATAATTTTTCTTTGAGTAATATTTTAAAATATTATTTTAAACATTTATATTATTAAAATGTTAGAAGCCAGCAGATGAAAAATGAAACTTAGTTCAATGGAGGTGGGTCCCTTTCAGCCCATTTTTCATTTATAATATTACTTCACTGCAGTGAATATACTTGTGCCTTTCCCCATTTTTAAAAAAATTTACTTGGAATACATTCCCAGATGGGCAGCCCCAGTGGCCCAGTAGTTTAGTGCCACCTTCAGCCTGGGTGTGATCTTGGAGACCTGGGATCGAGTCCTGCATCGGGCTCCCTGCATGGAGCCTGCTTCTCCCTCTGCCTGTGTCTCTGCCTCTCTCTCTCTCTGTGTCTGTCATGAATAAATAAATAAAATCTTAAAAACAAAACAGAATACATTCCCGGAAATGGAATTACAGATCTTCCTCACCTTATAATGGGCTTACCTTCTGTTAAAACCTATTTTAAGTTGAAAGTAACCTAAGTTGAAAATGCATTTGCTTTTTTATTTTATAAAAATTTTTAAAAGATTTTATTTATTTATTTGAAAGAGAGAGAGAGTACACACATAAGCAGGGGGATAGATGAGGCTCCCTTAGGAGGGAGCCTACTGGGCTGAAAATGCATTTAATACACTAGGCTACCAGACATCATAACTTGGCCTAGCCTACTTTAAGCAAGCTCAGAACACTTACATTAGCTTACAGTTGGGCAAAATCATCTAACACAAGGCCTATTTTATCATAAGGTGTTGAATATCTCATGTAATTTATTGAATACTGTACTGAAAGTGAAGCAGAATGGTTATATGGGTACGAAATGACTATAGGTGTATTGATTGCTTACCTTTGTGATTGAGTGGCTGACTGAGAGCTATGGCTTGCTGCCACCATCTAGCATCACGAGAGAGTATCATACTACATACTGTTAGCCTGGGAAAAGATAAAAACTCAAAATTCAAAGTACAGTTTCTACTGAATGCATATCGCTTTTGCATCTAGTAAAGTTGAACTATCATAAATCAGTGACCATCTGTAGTTAAAACTGTTTTATGACTTTTTCTAAATGCATATTGTCAGAATGAAAAATATCAGTACTTTTTACTTATTACCAAAGTTAAATATTTTCTATATTTGTGTTTTCAGTATCTTTAATCTCTGAAGTGCCTATTTTCTCTTTTCCATGCAATTTTCATATCTAGATGTAATAAAACCTGGAGTTGATGTTAGTAACTTGTTATTTTAAATTTTTTCTCTATATTTTTAGTAGAAAATTTGGTGTCACCTAATTTCAAAAGTTTTGTAGAAAATTATGGAATTTATATGGACATATTTTTTATAGTTGTATCTTGTGTGCTATAGGCCTGAAGGACCTGGAAACACTTAATTTTTCCTAATGATTTTTTTCCAGATTGAAGAAGGTATTGTTGTAATGGAAGATGATTCTCCAGTGGAAGCTGTGAGCACACCTAATACTCCCCGAAACCTTGCTGCATGGAAAATTAGCATTCCATATGTGGACTTTTTTGAAGATCCTTCCTCTGAAAGGAAAGAGAAAAAGGAGAGAATACCTGTATTCTGTATAGATGTTGAAAGAAATGATAGAAGAGCAGGTAGGAATTTTTATGAATACCTTTCTTAAAAGATGCTAATTAGTCTGTATTTATCAGGAATGATAAATATTTTGCCATTTCTAACTGCACATCTGAAAGGTAAGTGAACAGAAAGTTGAATGAAAGCTTAGGCTTTCCTAGGTTATCTCTAGCACCACTTAATTAATTTGTTCAACCAATACATATTGAGTAGACGCCTGTGCAACACCTGACAATGCAGCAAGGCATTTTATGTAACATTCTTTTAATAAAGGTTTTGCTGCCATCATCATTAACCATTATTCTTAATTGACTATGAGTAACATGTACAGCAGTATATCGGATATTATACCAATTTCATTAAGACAGCGTTTCTCCTCCTCCATTGTTGTGGGATAATTAGAATTTATAAAAATATAATAAAACACAATTTGACAAGTTTTCTTCATGTTCGTGTTCATTTGGTGGTGTCAGGTGTGAACTAATACAGACAGGAGGTAAATAGCATCCATAGTAAGGTAACAGTCACTACCCTGGTATTTGTCCAAGAAGTAGGGCACCCAGTGTAAACAAAAGCACATCAAAGTTGTACACATTTTGGGAATGATAGAAAAATGAAGTTGAGCTCAGGAAAAAGAAGGAAAAAAAAATGGTCATGTTAGGAAATGGTTTTGAGAGAGGAGTGACTAAGTGTTAGCATGAAGGTCAGTGCTAATAACTTCCTTATTTGTTTTTCAAAAGATAATAGGTTTTTAAAATTTTTCTTAGAAGGTAATCCTATTTCAAGAAATAAAATGTAGAAATGGGAAAGGAAGAATGCTCAGAGTAGTTATCTATGATTTTTCCTGTTATTATTATTATTTTTAATCTATTTGTTCATGAGAGACACAGAGAGAGAAAGGCAGAGACATAAGCAGAGGGTGAAGCAGGCTTCCTGCAAGGAGCCTGTTGGGGAACTCAGTTCTGGAACTCTGGGATCACGCCCTGAGCTGAAGGGAGCCCCTCAACTTCTGAGCCACCCAGGTGTCCCTAATTTTTCCTATTATAACTAAATACCAGGCAGGGTCTGGTTCGGAGTTAGTGCTACTTGATTGTGCTGTTGTTGCCATTCAGTCTTGCCAATTGCTTTTCTGGCTCAGTATTCTAGTATTCTAATAGGTGTAGAGACAAACCATTGTTGATATTATAGTCTGATTTTAGTTTCTTTTCTTTTCTTTTTTTTTAATATTTTACATACTTGAGGGGGTGGAGAGAGCACGAGGGGGGGAGGGGCAAAAAGGGAGAGGGAGAAGCAGACTCCCTGCTGAGCAGGGAGCTTGCCATATGGGACTTAATCCCAGGACCCTGGGATCATGACCTGACCTGAAGGCAGATGCTTAACTGACTGAGCCACCCAGGTGCCCCATATTTCAGTTTCAAACATAGTTTTGTTTGCATCTTTTGTCTACCATTTCTACTGATTAGCATTTTAAGTGTTGGAAAGAATTGAAAAGAAATACTCTAGTTTCTGGGTTCAGCTACTTCTAAGTACTTAAAGTCTGACTCTTCCAACACTGTTCTTGTTTCTCAGGAAATTATTTTAAACTTCTGACTTTAGGATGGGAATTCTTATTATTATAGGTAAATTTATGTTGATGTGTGACTTTTATCTCCTTCTCAAAGGTTTATGTATGATATACTTTTAAACATTCGGAAATACACTTTGTTTTTGCCTTTTGGACACATATTATTCATTTTTGTGCTTTATTTTTTAGAAATTTGCCTTAATAATTTAACCATAAAGTTTAAACCAAAAAAATCTTAAAACTTGTATTCTAAGGATTATTTTTCTCAGCCTTTTACTGTCAATATAATGTGCTTTTAGGAAGCCATGACCCATGAGGGATCTCATAAAGTGTATCATTTAAATAATACTTTGATTTTACATATGTAGCAAATTAGCAATTTTCAGCTTTAAAAAACCAAAATTAGGGATGATGAAGATCCTTTAAGACCAGTGTTGAAGAAAAAAAACTTCAATTTGCTCTATAGATTGTGACTGTATCATGTTGTTTTTTTCTAAATGTGATATTTTTGGTTATTGTGGTCTTAGTTGACTTTGTACATTGCATTTCCAAATCTATGCTAGAATGACATGAGATATCATAGCAGTTAACATTTTGGGGGAGCTTCTTCTGTGTTGTGCATTCTACAAAAGTGATTTAGGTGTATTATTTTATGCAGGAGTACAATTTTTATTCTAAGCAACTTAAGGCACAATGAGGTTATTTGTTCAAGTTCACTTAGTAAATGGGGGAACTGGGATTGGAATAGGCGGTCTGACTTGACTCATTCTGTAAAATATTACTTTGTGCTATTCAGTTTTGGTAGCCACTAGCCATGTGCACCAATTAAAATTAAATTAAATTAGCATTTTAGTTCCTTACATAGAATAGCCACATTTCAAATGATCAGTAACTATATGTGGCTAATAGCTACTGTATTAATACAGATTATATAAAACATTTTCAAAATTGCAGAAATTTCTGTTGGGTACTGCTGTTCTGTATTGTCTTAGATCAGGACAATTAGTAAATTTTGAGGGACCTAAAATTAATTGATTTTAAGTTTTTATGAAATACATTGTTTATTTCTGACATTTAAAAAATAATCACTGTATTATTTTTTGAAATTTCTATCAGCTCTATGATTCTGTTGTAGAAAAATGTATTATTGAGATAACTTAATAGGTAAAATGCATCAATCTCTTAAATTTAAAATTAAAATATGGGATAAAATATGTTAATGATGTGATGTTAAGAAATAATAAATTATTAAGACTGGAATAGTATCTAATAGTTTATACAATTATTTAGTATTTATTGTGTATTCATCCAATTTACAGTTGGGCATGAGCCTGAACATTGGTCCGTCTATAGAAGATATCTAGAGTTCTATGTACTTGAATCAAAACTAACAGAATTTCATGGTATGTGGCTTTTGTATAAAACATTACATGTTAGCATTAGCTTTTTTGTAGAAGCTGTTGAACTAGATTAATTTTTTGATTTTAGGTATTATACCAAGGAAATGTAGCAGTAACATTTGTGTATACTACTATTCATAATAGGAACATACTGTTTTTTATCTTATTTCTGGCTTATATTTAATTTTAAAGTTTTTACAGTGCACATTTATTGCTTTTTAAATAATGTTAATATTTAAAAGATAGCTATTCTTTAATTGTATTTTAGAAAAGATTCTCTTTCCAGTTTAATTTTGGTTTTTCCTGATGTGGCAGAGATTTTAATTTAAACCAAGCATTTCAGATTGCTTTTGTTCTTTTACCATCTTTCTTGATAAACATGTTTGCTCTGCATCATGGTAAATGTTTTGATTTAGTTCTTAGATATGGAAACAAAACCTGTAGTGTAATATTTCTATTAAGGATAGATCAAGCAAAAGAGGGGAACACTTCTCCTTTTTTAGTTCTTCCCCTTACCTTTCAGTCTCTCTTATCATCCATTTATTTTAGTTAATATCAGCAATATAGTTACAAAGTATTTACAGTCATTTTGTATGTAGGTTGATGAGTCTGATTTGTGTATTCTGAATCTTTAATCTCTGAGAAAGAGTGGGAGCAAGTATGAGCGAGCAAGTAGGGCGAGGAGGGGCAGAAGAAGGAGAGAGAGAGATTCTTAAGCAGGCTCCTTGGAGCTCGATCTCACCCTGAGATCTCAGCAGGCTGAGATCAACCCTGAGATCATGACCTGAGCCAAAGAGTCAGATACTTAACCTACCGAGCCACCCAGGCACCCATGAATCTTCATTTTATCGAAGCTTTGTGGAGTATCCTTGATCCAAATTCAGGTTGGTTCTGAATTGAGAAGGACAAGAACCTTTTTTACTCTTCTTTAAAATACAAAGTCCCACTCCAGACTGTTTGCTTATATTTTGAATTTGTGTTTGTCTTTAAATGGTTTTCTCTGTCTCTGCCAGTTTTGTGCCATGCCATCCTTATCTCTTCCTTTCTCTGAGAACTTTTTCTTTGGATTTATTTTAGAGATGAGAGACATACAATCCATACTGTACAGTCCTAGATCATCCTACATTGATTGGATTCCCAACAGTATTTTCCTTTTTGACATGTAAATTTCTTAATTTTTTAAAAAGATTTTATTTATTTGTTTATGAGACACACACAGAGAGAGCCTAGGAAGAAGGAGAAGCAGGCCCCCCGTGGGGAGCCTGATGTGGGACTTGAGATCCCAGGGCCTCGGGATCATGACCTGAGCCAAAGGCAGACATTCAACAACTGAGCCACCCAGGCATCCCTGGCATTTATATTTCTAAAGTCAGCCCTATTTGAGGAAGCATGTCCGTGGTTTGTTTTTAAAGATTTATTTATTTCTTTGAAAGAGAGACAGAGATAGAATGAGGGGAAGGACAGAAGGAGAGGGAATCCTAAACAGGCTTCATGCCCAGTGGGGAGCCCTATACAGGGCTTGATCTCACCACCCTGAGATCATGACCTGAGATGAAACCAAAACCTGGTTGCTCAACCAACTAAGCCCCCATATCCAGGGTTTTTAATTTTTGTTTTGAATCTTGTATAGTATTGGCAAAATGCTACCTTTTTTTCTCATGAGAGAGTAGGTATTTTTTTTTTAATTTTTATTTATTTATGATAGTCACACACAGAGAGAGAGAGAGAGAGAGAGGCAGAGACATAGGCAGAGGGAGAAGCAGGCTCCATGCACCAGGAGCCCGACGTGGGATTCGATCCCAGGTCTCCAGGATCGCCCTGGGCCAAAGGCAGGTGCTAAATCACTGCGCCACCCAGGGATCCCCGAGAGTAGGTATTTTAAAGATTTTGGCTGATAGAATCCCACCAACTTCAAAATAGTCTCATGATTAGTTTTTGAAGCTTTTTTTTTTTTTTTTTTTTTTTTTTTTTTTTTTTTTTTACTAGTATAGAAGGCTTAAATAAATCTGTGCCAATGAAGAGTTGGTGATATTTGGTGATATTTTGGGTATCAATAGACCTAGGTTCTTTGGTCTGGACTTCTGACTTGAAGCTCATGGATTTTTGTTGAGATTATTTAATTAATTATTTTTAAAAGGTCTTATTTATTTACCTGACAGAGCACAAGCAGGGGGAGTAGCAGAGGGAGAGGGAGAAGCAGGCTCCCAGCTGAGCAGGGAGCCCAGTGTGGGGCCTCAATCCCAGGACCCCAGGATTATGACCTGAGCCGAAGGCAGATACTTAACTGACTGAGCCATTTACATGCCCCTTGTCAAGATTATTTAAAAGTTAATGCCATATCTCTAAATGGGAGCATTGTAAACCTGAATTTGCCTTAGTAAGCTATAAATTAGGTTTTAAAAATAGTAGCAGAATGGACGCTTGGGTGGTTTAGTGGTTTAAGCATCTGCCTTCGGCTCAGATCGTGATCCTGTGGTCCCGAGATCGAGTTCCACATCGGGCTCTCTGCATGGAGCCTGCTTCTCCCTCTGCCTCTGCTTCTGCCTCTCTCTCTGTTTCTTATGAATAAATAAATAAAATCTTAAAAAAAAATAGTAGCAGAACATGCTAATAACTTTCATATATATATTTCAGGCACATTTCCTGATGCCCAGCTTCCTTCCAAGAGGATCATTGGCCCCAAAAATTATGAATTCTTAAAGTCAAAGAGAGAAGAGTTTCAGGAATATTTACAGGTAAATAGTACCATCTTATTTAAAACATTGCTAATCATAGTATACTCTAATTTGTCTTTTTTTCTCTTGTGTAAATACATTTTGTTTTACAGATATGTGTCAATGTGAATTTCGAAAATTCTTTTAAGATATTTTTTTCATGTGGAAGAGAATTATTGTTAAGGGTATACTTTATAGGGGCACCTGGGTGGCTTAGTTGGCTAATAAGCATCCAACTCTTGATTTCAGCTCAGGTCATTATCTCAGGATTGTGAGATCAAGCCCTGCATTGGGCTCCACACTCAGCACAGAGCCTGCTTGATATTCTCTCTTTCCCACTGCCCCCCCTCATGTGCTATCTATCTCTCTCTCAAAAGAAAAAGAGTATACTTTAAAATAAATTGATGGGATCCCTGGGTGGCGCAGCGGTTTGGCGCCTGCCTTTGGCCCAGGGCACGATCCTGGAGACCCGGGATCGAATCCCACATCGGGCTCCCAGTGCATGGAGCCTGCTTCTCCCTCTGCCTATGTCTCTGCCTCTCTCTCTCTCTCTCTCTCTCTCTCTCTCTCTCTCTCTCTGTGACTATCATAAATAAATAAAAAATTTAAAATAAATTGATAACCAGTGAAATACCAGATACTTTCTCAGAAGTAGAAAAATCTTATGTTGGGTTTAGTTTAAAACTTTTGGTGTGGAAAGTTAAAGAAAGAAAAACGTATAAGATGAAATGCATTCTAAAAAAAAAAAAATGAAATGCATTCTAAGAATACTGGATAGTTTTTTTGTTACTATTGTCTTTTTAAGAAAATTTTATTATTATTTTAAGTAAACTCTACCCACAACATGGGACTTGAACTTAAAACCCCAAGATCAAGAGTTGCTACTGACTAAACCAAGCAGGCGCCCCTTTTGTCTTGTTTCCTGTTTGATTTTGTGTTTAGCACTTCTGAACTTGTGAACTCCTGTTTTATTCCTTAGTTTTTTTTCTTTTGCAGTTTGTAGATGTTTTTCCAATTTCTTGGGATCTCCTGATTTTCTACCATTCACTGCTTGCAATTGAAATCTTTTTTTCAGTGTGGGCACAGTGTTATGTGAACAATGTAATTGATATGTTATTTCCATTGTTAGTTCAGTTAGCCAAAATCAAATCAGATGCTTAACTAAAATTGATTTAGGTTTCTCTAAAATTAATGACCATCTTTCGTTAATGAAGTGCATAAGACCAAAAAGTAGATACATTTTTTGTTTTATTACATCGCTTTTTTTTTTGGACATGGGATTTTGTAGATTTTATTAAATGTTAATTCAGTTAAATTTGGATGCCTCCCTGTCAAAAATAAGTACTTTTAAAAAAAGGGATCTTTATATTTTATTTCTTGTATTTGAACCATTGAGTGCTTCAACCCAGAAAATACTTGTTACATAGTTTTTTGGTCGTGTGAAAATTGAAATACGAATAACTTAACTACTGCAAGGATATTCGAATGTAATATATAGTAGTATTAACCTTTGCCTTTGTACCATTAACCCATTATTGGAATGAATTAAATCTTTTTAAGAGTTAGAGTACCACATACTAGAAGAGTATTTTCTGGTGATATGGAGCTAAAGGTTGCAGTTACTGGTATTTTTATACAGATTTCTGCTCATAAAGTTTTGAAACTGTTTCAAGTTACAAAACAGAATATTAGGTAAGACCGGGTTCATTTTGGCTTTAAAAAGTCAGTTTATCTTGTAAGAAAATAGTGTTGCAAGAAGAACAGACAACAGATTTTCCAAATTATTTCACATTTCCACATTTAGTTTTCTGCAAAACCCTTTGTGCCAACTTCTTTGAATTATCAAGAACATTTTATGATATTGTAGTACTTGTTTTATAGTTGAGAAATGGAGAAACAATATTAGCTAATATTTAATCTTCTTCCTGTGTATCGTATTGTGCTAAATGCTTCATATAACAACTCTGTAAAGTAAGTAGTATTATCTTCCTGTTACTCATGAGGAAACTAACTCTTGTAATTTAGGAACTTAGTTTCTAGGGACTCCTCACTGGTAAATGGAAGAGCTAGAATGCAGACCCTTTCATGACTGACCATAGAGGCTGAGTTCTTAGCTGCTGTGCAATAGTATTCTTTCTACAAATGTGGTTTTGTTATTCTGAATGTAAGATAGCTTTTGAGGACTAAAAAATTTTTTGTTTTCGTTCTTATCATTTTAATATAGTTTTGATGATCCTTTTGGATTTTTAAGCTTTTTTTCCCCTTTTTCTTTTTTCATTCAAGAAACTTCTGCAGCATCCAGAACTGAGTAATAGTCAACTTCTGGCTGATTTTCTCTCCCCCAATGGTGGGGAAACACAGTTTCTTGATAAAATACTACCAGATGTAAATCTTGGTAAGTCAGTTTAAAGAATCATATATATGAGGATAAACTGAACATAATCAGCATTTTCAGATTAACGTAGAGGAATAGTTTATATAGTGAAGCCATGTGTCAAATTCTAACAGACTTCTTGAAAACTGTTAGTAGGAACATAAATTGGAAACACAGTTTAGGGGACGCCTGGGTGGCTCAGCGGTTGAGCGTCTGCCTTTGGCTCAGGGCATGATCCCAGATTCCCGGGATCGAGTCCCGCATTGGGCTCCCTGCATGGAGCCTGTTTCTCCCTCTGCCTATGTCTCTCTCCCTCTGTCTCTCTGTGTCTCTCATGAATAAGTAAATAAAATCTTTGTTAAAAAAAAAAAAGGAAACACAGTTTAGTATGAAACTGAATGAGCAGTTCCTCTCTGAGATATATACTCTAGAGAATTTTCTATATATATTAAAGAATGTTCATAGCATCATTGTTTTTATAGGCAAAACTGGAAATAATACAAATGTTCATCACCAGTAGAGTAAACATAAATTATGGTAGTTTCATAAAATGAATACCTGTGGCAGTGAATACCTGTAGTATGTAGCTATTTGCAACAATTTTGATAATCTTTTTTTAATTTAATTTTTAAAATTTCATTTCAATTTGCCAATATACAGTATAATACCTAGTGCTTATCACATCATGTGTCCCTAGTGCTTACCACATCATGTGTCCTCTTTCATGCCTATCACCCAGTTACCCCATCCCTCCACCCACCTCCCCTTCAGCAACCTTCAGTTTGTTTCCCAAATTTAAGAATCTTTAATGATTTGTCTTCCTCTCTGATTTTTCCCCATTCAATTCCCCCTCCTTTCCTTTTGGTCCCTTGCACTATTTCTTATATTCCACATATGAGTGAAACCATATGATAATTTTCTTTCTTCAATTGCCAACTAACACTGATAATCTTAAAAGCATGATGTTGAATGAAAGAAGCAAGACACAGAAGAGTATATACAGCATGATTTCTTTTATGTTAAAGTTCAGTATAGACCACAGTAATATAAGCAAGAAAAGTTTGAATAAAATTGTTAAAAATAATAATGGAAGTAAAACACTATTTTGAATATATTTTATATAATATAATCGTAAGTACATATAGAGATAAACAAATGAATTAAATATTGCAAGTGGGCATTTGACTTTCATCTGTATCTCTTCAGTACATTTAGTTGAGCCAGAATGCTTGGTATTTATATGGAGGTTTTCTTATCAGAGGAAAATGTGAAGACATTTTATATTTGGGTCTATGCAATATTTAGGAGATAGAATTGGGTAGACTTGGTTGCTGACTAGGTTTGACTGATGGAGAAGAAATGATCAAAGAATTGTTTGTTCCATTTAAACAATTGGGAGGATGCTGTTACTTGCTGAGATTAAGGAATAAATTAAGAGTAGTTCTGAACTTGTTGAGTTTATAGAATCCAGGTAAAGAAGTTTTTGTAAGGCAGGAGAGGCCAGGGGATAAGCAAGGAGTAGAGATTTGAGTGTTACTTTAAATCAGATTGAGCAAATAAATTGGCTCAGGAAAAGCATGTAGAAGAGACCAAAAAGAACAGTATAAAACTCTGTAGTTTAAGGAACTTGGAGAATGCTTCTATCTTCTTTAAGATTTATTTAATTTATTTGAGAGAGAGAGAGAATAAGAAGAGGGTGAGGAGAGGAAGAATCCTGAAGCAGACTCCCCACTGAGTATGGAACTTGATGTAGGACTCTTTCCCAGGACCTTGAGTTCATCATCCCAAACCAAAATCAAGAGTTGGACGCTTAACTGACTGAGCCACCCAGGTGCTCCAGGCACTTGGGGGAGTTCTGAGGAGGGAGGTGTAGTTTATGTGGATAGCAAAAGAGAAATAGTCTGATGGGAAGAGGGTTGGGTGGTTTTCATGTTATAAAACAGTCTCCCATTTTAAGTTATTATGTCTCTTGCTATTACCATAAGTCTACTTTTTTTCTAAATTGAACCATAAGAAATTTTAAGTTGCATCTATCAATTTTGATGATTTTTCAGGCATTTCTAATGTTTGAGAAAATCTTAAGATGTTTGATTTTTTTTTTAAGATTTTATTTATTCATGAGAGACAGAAAGAGAGAGAGAGACAGAGACAGAGGGAGAAGTGGGCTTCCTGCAAGGAGCCTGATGTGGGACTTGATTCTGGACCCCAAGATCATGCCCTGAACCAAAGGCAGACGCTCAACCGCTGAGCCACCCAGGTGTCCCAGATATTTTAAAATAAATACAAGAAATTTTGGCAAACAAGATTAGACTATGTATATTTAACCTAAAACTCAGAATATAAGCTATTTGAATAGCCAGTGTTTTTTATTTTTAATTTTAGAGAAAGAGTGCAAGCAATGGGGAGGGGCAGAAGGGGGGGAGAGAGAGAGAGAGAGAGAGAGAGAGAGAGAGAGAGAGAGAAAGAAAGAATCACACTGATTGTGGAGCCTGACATGGGGCTTGATCTCACAACCCTAAGATCATAACCCAAGCGAAAGTCCAGAGTTGGAACTTAACTTCCTGACCCACCCAGGTGCCTCCAAATAGCCAATTTAAATGTTGTAGCAATTCTTAAAACTGTTTGACTAACTTTTGCATATATATTTTTTAATAAATTAATTTTTATCGGTGTTCAGTTTACCAACATACAGAATAACACCCAGTGCTCATCCCGTCAAGTGTCCCCCTCAGTGCCTGTCACCCATTCACCCCCACCCCCCGCCCTCCTCCCCCTCCACCACCCCTAGTTCATTTCCCAGAGTTAGAAGTCTTTATGTTCTGTCTCCCTTTCTGATATTTCCCACACATTTCTTCTCCCTTCCCTTATATTCCCTTTCACTATTATTCATATTCCCCAAATGAATGAGAACATACACTGTTTGTCCTTCTCCGACTGATCTACTTCACTCAGCATAATACCCTCCAGTTCCATCCACGTTGAAGCAAATGGTGGGTATTTGTCGTTTCTAATGGCTGAGTAATATTCCATTGTATACATAAACCATATCTTCTTTATCCATTCATCTTTCGATGGACACCAAGGCTCCTTCCACAGTTTGGCTATTGTGGACATGGCTGCTAGAAACATCGGGGTGCAGGTGTCCCGGCGTTTCATTGCATCTGAATCTTTGGGGTAAATCCCTAACAGTGCAATTGCTGGGTCGTAGGGCAGGTCTATTTTTAATTCTTTGAGGAACCTCCACACAGTTTTCCAGAGTGGCTGCACCAGTTCACATTCCCACCAACAGTGTAAGAGGGTTCCTTTTTCTCCGCATCCTCTCCAACATTTGTTGTTTCCTGCCTTGTTAATTTTCCCCATTCTCACTGGTGTGAGGTGGTATCTCATTGTGGTTTTGATTTGTATTTCCCTGATGGCAAGTGATGCAGAGCATTTTCTCATGTGCATGTTGGCCATGTCTATGTCTTCCTCTGTGAGATTTCTCTTCGTGTCTTTTGCCCATTTCAAGATTGGATTGTTTGTTTCTTTGCTGTTGAGTTTAATAAGTTCTTTATAGATTTTGGAAACTAGCCCTTTATCTGATATGTTATTTGCAAATATCCTCTCCCATTCTGTAGGTTGTCTTTGAGTTTTGTTGACTGTATCCTTTGCTGTGTTTTGCATATTTTTAGATATTTTTATATAGTCATCATTGTTTAAAATCTTTTGAAAACATTTTTTTGTGGAAAATTTCAAATATACACGAAAGAGAATTTTGTATAATAAACCTCTTACTCTATTTTAGTAGTTACCAACACGGCTTGTTCAGTCCCTTCCCTTCCCCCCTCCAACCTCACTGTATCATTTTAAGTAAATCCTAAGTGTTGTATCTATAAATAATTAAGAAAACCATATTTATTGTAAATTTCTGTTGAATGTGAAATTGTAAATTATAAATATTTTTTATACTTTCCTTTTTACTTGGCTATTGAGTGTTTAAAATTACTTAGTAAAGTATACAGTAAGCAATTATGAGATTTATTATACCTTCATAAAATTAATATTTTATTTTTAATTGCAGGGAAGATTATAAAGTCTGTTCCTGGAAAACTAATGAAAGAGGTGAATAACTAATTTATGTATATTCTGTAACATGATAGTTACAAGTATATTAAATATCAGTGAATTTTAATGGGTTATATGATTATTAAAAATCATAATCTTGATTTTTAATTTGCATACCATGATTTCTGTATCACAACAGAAAGGTCAGCATTTGGAACCTTTCATCATGAATTTCATTAATTCTTGTGAATCTCCAAAGCCTAAACCAAGTAAACCGGAATTGACTATTCTCAGCCCTACTTCAGAAAACAACAAGAAGGTACTGCCTCAGAGTTATGAAGTTTGAAGTTGTCCTACTTGAGACTTTTCCATTATAGGGAGAATCATGTGTTAATGAAATGAATGGGACTTATTTCCTTTATATGAAAATCAGTTGTACAGTGTAAGGAGGGATTTTATATAGTTGCTTGCATCTTTGCTTTAATGGGTAAATGTTTCTTTAGATAATTGTATTTGTAAACGTCTACCATTTCTGTATTTGGGAGATTTTTTTTTTATAATAAATTTATTTTTTATTGGTGTTCAATTTGCCAACATACAGGATAACACCCAGTGCTCATCTCTTCAAGTGCCCATCACCCATTCACCCCCACCCCTCGCCCTCCTCCCCTTCCACCACCCCTAGTTCGTTTCCCGGAGTTAGGAGTCTTTATGTTCTGTCTCCCTTTCTGATATTTCCCACACATTTCTTCTCCCTTCCCTTCTATTCCCTTTCGCTATTATTTATATTCCCCAAATGAATGAGAACATATAATGTTTGTCCTTCTCCGACTGATCTACTTCACTCAGCATAATACCCTCCAGTTCCATCCACGTTGAAGCAAATGGTGGGTATTTGTCGTTTCTAATGGCTGAGTAATATTCCATTGTATACATAAACCACATCTTCTTTATCCATTCATCTTTCGATGGACACCGAGGCTCCTTCCACAGTTTGGCTACTGTGGACATTGCTGCTAGAAACATCGGGGTGCAGGTGTCCAGTGTTTCACTGCATCTGTATCTTTGGGGTAAATTCCTAACAGTGCAATTGCTGGGTCATAGGGCAGGTCTATTTTTAACTCTTTGAGGAACCTCCACACAGTTTTCCAGAGTGGTTGCACCAGTTCACATTCCCACCAACAGTGTAAGAGGGTTCCCTTTTCTCCGCATCCTCTCCAACATTTGTGGTTTCCTGCCTTGTTAATTTTCCCTATTCTCACTGGTGTGAGGTGGTATCTCATTGTGGTTTTGATTTGTTTTTCCCTGATGGCAAGTGATGCAGAGCATTTTCTCATGTGCATGTTGGCCATGTCTATGTCTTCCTCTGTGAGTATTTGGGGGATTTTTAAGGTGGTTTTCGTAGGTTGTCAATCACCGACTTCCAATACTCAAGAAATTAATTGATACAATGTATTTATGTTGACTTGATGTTTATTTTATCTCATTTCAGTGGCTTATGTAATATTTAATCCATTCATTAAGCAGGTATATTATCCTGTACCTAACTATTGAGTGCCAGGCAATGGAATATAAAGATAAATTTCCAGCCCACAGGAAGCTCACTTTAGTTCCAGAATAGTGTTCAGCACTGGGAGTTGTGTGAGCTCAAAGGACAGCCTTCCTCCTCCCCCCAAAAAACTTCACTGTTTTGTTACTACTGTAAAAGATATCTTTAATATTTTTTCATTTTATAACTTTCTTTTTGTAAACAAATAGTTAACTTTTGTGTATTGATTTTTTAAATTCAGTAACCTTGCTAGACTTGTATTAGTTTTAGTAATATATCTATTAATTCTTTTAGATTTACACACTTAACTGCAAATGATGATTTTGTTTCATTCATGGCTAGGAGCTGCCGTACAAAGATCATGATTTTATTGTTTCACCAATAAATCGTGTAATGTAGCTTTTTTCATAGATATCTTTTAGAAGGTTGCATTCATGTTTATGGGTGGACTTGGCTTATAATTTTTCTGTCGCATTCTATCCTTGTCAAGTTTTGGTATCAAAGTTATATTAATCTTTTTCTACTTGCTGATAGTTATAATTGGAATTACTAGTTCTTTAAATAATTGATAGAACTGGTTGTTAAAGTCATCTAAGTCTTGAGTTTTGTTTGTAGGAAGGCTTTTTAAAAAATCAACCGAATTTCTTTAATGATTATAGTATTCAGATTTGTTGGATGAGTCATTTTTTTTCCCCCAAAGATTTAGTTATTTATCTGAGAGAAAGAGGGCATGTGTGTGTGAGCTGGGGGAGGAGCAGAGGGAGAGCAAGCAGATTTTGCATTGAGACAAGCAGACAAGCAGACTGCACCAAGCATGGAGCCTGATGCAGGGTTTGGTCCCATGACCCCAAGATTATGACCTGAACTGAAACCAAGAGTCGGATGCCCAACTGACTGAGCCACTCAGGTGCCCCAACATGAGTCAGTTTTGATAGGTTTTATATATATATATTTTTTTTTTTAAGGGGGAAGGGGCAAAGGGAGAGAGAGAGAATCATAAGCAGGTTCCATGCCCAGCATGGAGCCTGATGTGATGCTCGATCTTAAAACCCAGAGATCAGGAACACCTGGGTGGCTCGGTAGTTTAGCATCTGCTTCAGCCCAGGGCACGATCCCGAAGACCCAGGATCAAGTCCCACATTGGGCTCCCTGCATGGAGCCTGCTTCTCCCTCTGCTTGTGTCTCTGCCTCTCTTTCTCTCTCTCTCTGTATCTCATGAATAAATAAATAAATAATCTTAAAAAAAAAAAAAAAAGCCAAACACTGAGATCATGACCTGAGCCAAAATTAAGAATCAGATGCATAACCAACTGAGCCACCTAGGCACCCTGATAAGTTATATTTCTCAACAAATTTTTAATTTTATCTAAATTTGAAATTTTTTTGGCCTGAAGTTGTTCTTTTTGACATCTGTAGTTATATCACCTTTTATTTTTAGCGTTGTGTCTTTTTCTTTTTTTTCTTTTGCTCAGTCTTGTCATAGATCTTGTACTTTTCATGTTTTGGCTTTGTTGATCTTTTCTTTCAGACTTTTTAGTTCCTTAAGTTCTATTTTATTATTATTAACAATAATAGACTTTTTTGCATATCTTAAGGTTTAGGCTGAGATTTAGTTGTATTTCATCATTTTTACTATAAGTAATTTTTTTTTATAAGTAATTTTCTACATCTTGTTTTTTTCACACTGATTAGGCATTTCTGGACTATGACTGTTACTGTCCAAATAAACTTTGGCTAAAGCTCAATGTTCACACCCTATAACTGTGAATTATAATCTTTAAGTCATTTTAGTTTTAAAATTAACTGTCATTAATATATTTATACATCTTTACATGTTCATTTGTTCCTTTTGGTATAAAAAACAAAGGGTTTCTTCATGAAGAACAAATTTTCTGTTGTGTCTAAAATGAATGCAGACTTTTGTGTACTGTTTTGGGAGGAATATGTATTTTTTATCAATTTTGAGCATAAATGTGAAACTTTAGAGACAGAGCTTAACCTATCTGATAATTCTGTTTTGATTGGAAAAAGTTTAAATGCCTGTGCTCTGTGTCACTTTAGCTTTAGTAATTATTATCATCAGGTGTGTAAGCTAAATATCTCTTTCCTATTTCAATTTTTACTTTAGCTTTTCAGTGATCTATTTAAGAATAATGCAAACCGTGCTGAGAATACAGAAAGAAAGCAAAATCAGAATTATTTTATGGAGATGATGACTGTAGAAGGAGTCTACGATTACCTGATGTACGTAGGTAGGTAAGATCTATGTGGTTACTGTGAAAACCTATTTTTCATTCATGTATCATATTTCTTCTGTGATGCAAATTAATGTTCTTCACTGTTATCCTATTGTAACTTCTTTTTAAATTGAAGATACTTCTTTTATAAGAATTAGATATAATTGGTCATGAACATATTAAAGTTACTGGTTGTTTATAAATAAAATATTGACCATTTGTGTTTTTTTATACTGGAGAATGTTTGAAATATCTGTTTAACAAAATATTCCATATAATCCTCAGGACGGGTGGTTTTCCAGGTTCCTGACTGGCTTCATCATCTCTTAATGGGAACTCGAATCCTGTTTAAAAACACCCTGGAAATGTATACTGACTACTATCTTCATTGTAAACTAGAACAACTGTTTCAGGAACACCGCTTGGTCTCACTCATAACACTTCTCAGAGGTTTGTATTTTGTCATATGTGTCATGTTTTATGTACTTTTATGTCTTAATTTCATTGGTTTATTAGTATTTCTGCTATGAAGTATATTGTGTATAATTGGTAAAAATTCCAGCAAATATTTTTGTCTCTTTACAGATGCTGTATTCTGTGAAAACACTGAACCTCGCTCTCTCCAAGATAAGCAAAAACGAGCAAAACAGACTTTTGATGAAATGATGAATTACATTCCAGGTATAATATTTTTAAGTAGTTTAATATATAGATTAGCATTTCTTTGAGATCACAATATACAGTAATTTTTTTTTTAGGTTTTATTTATTTATTTGGAGAGGGAGCAAGTATGAGTGGGGGGAGGGACAGAGGAAGAGAGAGAGAATCTCAAGCAAACTCTGCACCAAGTGCAGAGCCTCAATCCCACAACAATCATGAGAATCTCAAGCAAACTCTGCACCAAGTGCAGAGCCTCAATCCCACAACAATCATGAGATCATGATCTGAGCTGAAGTCAAGAGTTAGATCCCTAACCAGCTGAGCCATCCAGGCACCCCACAAGGTATAGTAATTATTAAAGCTAATTTTTATTTTGAGTTATTTTGAGTTATCATTTTAGAAATAGTTATAAAGACCAAGTAAAATTTAATGTATTAGTTAAATAAAATTTGGTTTTTATAATATAAGCACTATGAACAGACTTTTTCTACTTTTGCAATAGCCAATGCTTTCAACAACTTATAATAAGACTGATCAAAGTGATATGTTTGTGGGACAGTCCAAATCCTCCTGCTTACTGTACGATGAGAAGAACTGCACTAGTGTTTATGAATAAAAGATCTACATTCATTCATTCATTCTAAATATACTGAGTACTTTCCACATGTCAGGCACTATGCAAAGTGCAAGGGATGTAAAAAGTGTACTTGAGTAATTCAGTCTAGCAGGAAGACAGTTATACAGACAAAACATATATGTGATAGGAGGCATGTGCAAATCACAGAGTATCTCAGAGGAAGAGAATGATCACTTCTTCTGTAGTGGAGATAGGCTTGAGCCACAAGGTAAATGAATGGTAGTAATCTTTTATAGAGTAGGACATACAAGGAAAAAATGTCAAAGGGTCAAAGCAAAGGATATTTAGTTTAGAATATTTTGAGTGTGAATTGCTTATACATTACTCATGAGGAAAGGTCTAGTAAGTAGTTAGGTTTAGAAATTTGAGAAATGAAATGGTACAGGTTAAGGATACGGAAGTTACAGGTAGTGGATAATAATGTCCAAAAAGAAAATATAGAGTAAGAATTGAAGAGGCCTTTGGACTGTACCTTAAAGAATTCTCATCATTGAAAAATTAGTCTCAGGATAGTCCTGCTGCTCTGTGTGAAGACAAATCCCTGGTCTGAATATAAAAGTAAATAAAAGTTACTTTGGGCTAAGTCCTCTGTAGGTAAATGATGAAATAACTTCTTAACCTGTTTTTGTAACAGCAGTCCATAGCATTCATGGCTTTAACAGTCTTAGTTTTGATACTCAGGGACAACATGGAAAGCTAGTGAATGTAGTAATTTGTTATTTTGCTGAGGAACAAATTTAAATCACATCTACTTCAAGACTTCTCTGGGAAGGAAAAATTTAGTGAGTAAAAACTTAGCATGTCTTTCTGTTGTCCTCTCCCCCTCATTTCTTACTCAGGGACTCCTGAAGGATCTGAAAGGATCACTTATTTTTGTTCATTAGGCTTCATGCAATTGGGAAATTCTGTGTAGTCTTGATGAATTGGGGGATTCATTAAGATCCATATTGGGCCACATATCTTGAAAATATCAAGGATCTACTATGCTTATTATAATTGAAGTTAGCCTTTGCTTCTTGGGTTACATTTATCTCCTAGAAGCAAACATAAGGTGTGAGAACTTTTCAAGAACATCATTAAGAGTTTTATTATAATTGGGGGTAAGGAAAGGACAAATATTTGAGTACTTTGTTTACTTAAGAATATTTTCCTGTTTTAGGGAAAACATTGAGAGATTTTTAGTAAGGACTGACTGGTAATAGAAGTGATAACATGACAGCTGTGCAGTCAAACGTGAATTGGAATTTTTTTGGATCCTAAATTAGTGTTCTCAGAAAGTCCCAAAAAGCTTGTCCTATAAGATGGTTAATAATAATTATGTAAAAAGTATAAAAATAAATTAAAGAGGTTATATTCATTGAGGAAAAGGTAGTGTTAAAAATTAAACTTTTTCTTCCTGATATTAAGATATTAAAACATTATGAAACTATATAGAGTAAAAAGTAGAAGTCATCCTCTCCCCAATTTGGTGTTAATCCTCACATTTTTCTGTGCATTTCTATACACATATGTACAAATGTATACATATAAATTTAGGATTTGTTTTACCTGACTTGGATAACACAATATGTATTATTTTCCAACTGACTTTTATCACTTAATAGTATAAGTAGATTTCTTTACTGCAACGTTCCACAGAGCTTGTAGTATACCTTGTTCATTATGGATCTCCAAAAGGAGGATACATCATACTGAGTTTCTTAACTTCATAGAAGCCTTTTTTCCTGGAGCTCTGTGGAGGAAAACTGGTTTAAGAAATGTAGATTTATAGTTTTTGTGTAATACCTGGGAAACAGGGTGAAGATTTTTCTTTATGGTCCAGTTAATGATGAGGCATTGTATAATATGAAGTGTTTCACATTTGGCTTTCTCCTTTAGATCTGATAGTCAAGTGCATTGGTGAAGAAGCCAAGTATGAAAGCATCAGACTTCTATTTGATGGCTTACAACAGCCAGTTCTCAATAAGCAGGTAAAATTCATTAAAGCAGGTTGACTAATGTCGGCTAGGTTTTGTGAACAGCACACACCAGGGTGTCTTGTATAGTATTAATTGTGAAGTGACACTATGTTAAATCAAGGCAGTGTACTTAGGATATTCAGACAGAAAAAATGTGTGCTTTATCTGTTACTCTTTTGCTTTTTACTTTATTCCTTATTTTTAAATTAAGTTTTCTAATTTAATTCCAGTATAGTTAACATACAATGTTGTATTAGTTTTAAGTGTACAATATAGTGATTTAACAATTCTATATATTACTAAGTGCTCATCAGGATAAGCGAACTCTTTAATCTCCATCGCCTTTTTCACCCATCCCCCCACCTACCTCCCTTATGGTAACCATTAGTTTGTTCTCTATAGTTAAGAGTTACTTTTTTTTTTCTTTATAACGAGTTCTAAAGAACCAACATATAAACCAACATGAGTTAGTTTTTTAAAAATTAAAAAAAATTTTTAAACATTTTTAAAAAAGATTTTACCTATTTATTTGAATGAGAGAGAAAGCAAGAGCAGGAGGAGTGGCAGAGGGAGAAGCTGAGCAGGGAGCACAGGCTCGAACAGCTCTACACATGATCCTGGGATCATGACCTGAGCCGAAGGCAAATCCTTAACAGACTGAGCCACCCAGGCGCCCCTATACCATGAGTTGTTTTGATTTAAAATAAGCATAGATTCACTGTAGAAAACCTGGAACATATACAAAATTCATGAAATAAAGTAAAAATTTAAAAACAAAGAATTCCATTACTCAGATTACATAGAATAACCACAGTTAATATCACATATATAGTCTATACTGCACATATTTTGTTGAGATCTTAATATAGTTAAAATTTTGTATCCTGCTTGTGTCTTTTACATTTATACAGCATAATAATAAAATGTACACATATAAAGACTTGTGTATATGAGTTCTGTTCCCTGCCTACTCATTTAGAGATAATAACCACAGTCCTGAATTTTGTTTTTATCATTTTTATGGCTTTTGTCTAATGCCTTAAAAAACATTTTTTTTTTTTTGTGCTCTAGCTGACTTATGTTTTATTGGACATTGTGATACAAGAACTATTTCCAGAACTCAATAAGGTAACTGAAAAGCAGCAGTTTTATTCTTTATGTTTTTGATGGTATGCTGACATTTATTTTAATTAGGGACAAAAATATTAAGGAAACCCTTGTGACTATAATCCCTTTAAAAATGAACAACCTTAATAAATGTCTCTTTAAATTTTCTTTTTTCAACATGCTTAAACATAGAGTCAGTTTTTTGGGGACAGGAAGGAGTAAGTAGCCTGTATTTTGACTATGTCCCTTCTTAATTACAAGCAGATAGGAACATTATACCCTCTAGAGTCTTTCCAGAGGAAGATGTGAGTTTAAGTCCTAGCACTAGAATAGGTCAAGTTCTTGAGACTGTCCTGTCTGTAACACTGAATGGTGTGTAAGTCAGATGAGTGTTTGGGGGCATTTGGCTTATATGAACCCAAGAGTACAAAATGAATTGGAATTGAAGAATGGTAATATTATTATATTGATTCTGGAGGATATATATATATATATATATACACACACACATATATATACATATATATATTCTATATCTATACATATCTATCTTACATTAGAATTTTTATATACTGGAATTGTTAGGCACTTCACAGATGAACCCTGTTTTATGGTCTAATATTAAATAGATTTATTTCTACTTTAGGTACAAAAAGAAGTTACCTCTGTGACGTCCTGGATGTAAACATTTGGATTTGGGAAAGAATAACCAGAAAGAGAACAATTTCTGTTGTGCTAGTGTAGTATACGTGTATTTTTTTCTTTTACTTTTGTATATTCTTGTATATATCATGTAATCCATTGTCTGAAATTTTGATTCTTTTTGTTTTAATAAAGACTAACACAAACTTAATAATAGTCACAAGTTATTGGGTTTCATAGTCTTTCTTTTTTTTTTTTACCTGTTACCAAATTTTATTAGAACATCTGTCATTTCTTGTTGACATTTTTTTTAAAGAGATAATTCATAATCCTTTTAGGACAAACAGATAAAACCAATAATCTTTGTATTGTATCACTTTGGAAATGATTATGTTTAGTGTGGGGAAATGAGAGTTAGATCTGATTTGCTTTCTTTTTTAGAGTTAATACATTTTTGTGGATTTTTTTTCTTTTTACCCCCATTTTCTATTAGTTAATTCCATGTCTGTAAAGAAGATATCCTTTATGAGTTTTTCATAAGAAACAAAGGACTTCTTACTCTTCCTGGATCAAATGGTTATAGCCCTTTTTAGGTATGAAAACTGACTACTTATAGATATTTGTGATTGTGGGGTTGCAACTACATTTCACTGAATAAACGTAGCTATATTCCAATATATTTTTTTTAAGGAAGAACTTAAGCATTTTTTAAAAAATATTTTACTTATTTATGAGAGACACAGAGAGAGAGAGGCAGAGACACAGGCAGAGGGAGAAGCAGGCTCCATGCAGGAAGCTCGACATGGGACTCCATCCTGGGTCTCCAGGATCAGGCCCTGGACTGAAGGCGGCACTAAATTGCTGAGCCACCCTGGCTCTCCAATATTCCAAAATTTAGTAAGTCTTATATGTAAGTCTATTTGAGTGGACTTTTGGTTTATGTCTGTTGTCTCTCTGAAAGGAAAATACAGAATTATTTTTTTTTAAAAGACTTTATTTGAGGATGAGACAGAGACAGAGATAGTGACAGCACAAGTGGGGAGGAAAGGGAGAAGTAGGCTGCCCTTCTGATGAGGGACTCAACCCCAGGACCCTGGGACCATGACCTGAGCCGAAGGCAGATGCCAATTTACTGAGCCACTCAGGCACCTCTAATTGTATTTTTTAAGGAATGATAATTTAAAATATTAGAGTCAGTGTTCAGAATTCTGCTCACAGTTCCCTCCCACGTTATACTTTCTCTTTGAAACAAATTTTTCTTTTAAGATTAAGAGTATTGTGTTTGCAAATTGGTTGCAGCATTCATTCAGAATACACTGAGTTTCAACTCCATATTGAAACTGAGCTGGGTAATATGAAACTAAATATAATTTGGAGATTTAACTTATTTAATACTATTCACTTATTCTTTTTCCCAAGGTTTTAAAAAATGGTTATTAGATATTGTAATTTTTGAAAAGATTTTGTCAGTAGTTTTATTGTATTTTTAATTGCTTAAAAATTCTAGAATATATATGAGTTTCTGTGACTCAGTGCTTTAATACCAAGCCTTAAACATTTATTAATATCTCAGGGACAGGTGGAAAATTAATCAGGTTAAGTCTTCACATTTAAATCCATAGCATTTTAAACACTGTTACTTAAAGTATCACAGTAACCTGGAAAAATAAAATATTTTATTTTTATTTTTTATTTTTTAATAAAATATTTTATAGCCCTTTTTATGCCATTCTTATGTACTCTCCTATAAATTGTGATATTCTCTTTATTTAGATAAGAAAAATGTTAGTGTATCATATCATATGGCTTGGGCTGCCATAACAAAGTACTACACACTGGGTGGCTTAAACAGATTTACTTCTCATAGTTCTTGAGGTTAGAAGTCCAAAATGAGGTGCCTACAATGTAGGTTTCATTCTTTTTTTTTTTTAGATTAATTCACTTATTCATTCATTCATTCATTCATTCATTTATTAGAGAGAGAGATTGAGAACACAAGCAGGAGGAGGAGCAGAGGGAGCGGGACAAGCAGACTCTGCTGAGTGTGGAGCCCAATACAGGGGTGGATCCCATGACTCTGAGACCATGACCTGAGCTGAAATCACGAGTTGGACACTTAACCCAACTGAGCCACCCAGGTGCCCTGGTAGGTTTCATTCTGAGGCCTCTTCCTTTGGCTTGCAGTTGGCTGCCTTCTCACATGTGCCCTAATAACCTCTTTGTGTAGGGGGGAAGAGAGAAAGAGATCTCTCTCTCTCTCTCTCTCTCCTTCTTACAAGCCACCAATCCATTGATTAAGGTTTCACTCTTATGACCTGATTTTACCTTAATTATCTCTTAAAGGTCCCATATCCAAATATGGAGAATTTTTGTATTAAAGTGGTTTTGGACTTCCAACATAAGATTTTTAGGAGGCTACATACACTTCAATCCATAGCAGTAGGTGAGCTCTATTTAAAGAAAATGTATAAAAATCTACACATAAAAAATTAATTATTCACATTAGAAAAGGAAAAGCAACTAGATGCAGTTTCTGTCAGCCAGACATTTTATATACACTATCACATTTTATCATCCATCACAATAACTATGAGATGGTATTATTTCATTATTATAGGTAAGGATGTTGAAGTCAGAGAGAATAGTGAAGTTAGAGTTCAGACTTAGATTTGTCTCTCATCCTCATGTGCTTGTCAGTGTTGCCCCATAAAAGGAGCTTTTGTTTCAAAAAGTAGGCACTCTTTGGATCTTCTTTTTTTAAAAATATTTTATTTATTTATTCATGAGAAACACAGAGAGAGAGAGAGAGAGTCAGAGACACAGGCAAAGCAAGAAGCAGGCTCCATGCAGGGAGCCTGACGCGGGACTCGATCCTGGGACTCCAGGATCACGGGCCGAAGGCAGGCGCCAAACCACTGAGCCACCCAGGGTTGCCCCTCTTTGGATCCTTTTTAAAAAATATGTTGTGTTCCTTTGCATCTTTATGTGTGTCCTTTAGTGCATGGGCTTCACATTTTGAAATGTGTTTATAGAAACAACTATCATTGTTTCTGGCTGAGGGAATAAAATGAAATTAAATAGATGGAAAGACGTTTTCAAAGTTAAAAAGACATTATAAAATTGTATTTTATGTATAATCAGTTATAGATATCAGAAGATTCTGAGCAATTAAAAGGAAGCACTTGAACTGTCATTTATTGACTTACTAAAAACCATTTGATTTTACAATAGAAATAGAAGTCTGACTTGCCACTGTTCTTAGCAGACCGTGTGATGATATATGTACAAGTTGTAATTTCAGATATAGTCAACATTAGCATAATAATTGAATGAATGAACAGATGAATAGGTCTTGCCAGTTCACCATACTTCCCGTTTCACCGATGCTTTCTGTAATGTAATCTCTTTGATAGTACTGGATACACAGAGGAGAAATCTTTAACCTGAGGCCTATAAGCTCCAGTGAAAAACAGGTTTTTTTTTATTTCACTTTTTTTGATACTTGATATTTACAGGTATTTTTTCTATCAAACACTCCAGGTAATGGGTATGTATTTCAAGGACACTCTAATACTTAAAGCAGCGGCAGGCAGAATTTGGCCCTCAGGCTGTAGTTTGCTAAATCCCTGATGTAGAAGAATAAAAGAGGGGAGGAAAAGAAATACTGTTAGAAAAATTATAATTACCTTCATATTAGGGAGTGGGGGAATTGAATCTTTGGAGAAAGGCAGGTTTTTAAAAAATTTAAATTCAGGGATCCCTGGGTGGTGTAGCAGTTTGGCACCTGCCTTTGGCCCAGGACGTGATCCTGGAGACTCGGGACCAAATCCCATGTCGGGCTCCCGGTGCATGGAGCCTGCTTCTCCCTCTGCCTGTGTCTCTGCCTCTCTCTCTCTCTCTCTCTGTGTGACTATCATAAATAAATAAAAATTTTAAAAAAATTTAAATTCAATTTAATTAACATATAGTATATTAATAGTTGCAGAGGTAGAATGTAGTGGTTCATCAGTTGCACATAATGCCCAATGCTCTTTCTATCCTGTGCCCTCCTTTATGCCCATCACCCAGTTACCACATCCCCCACCCAAATCCCCTCCAGCAACTCTACTCTGTTTCCTATAGTTGAGAGTCTCTTATAGTTTGTCTCCGTTTTCATCTTATTTTTCCTTCCCTTCTCCTGTGTTCATTTGTTTTGTTTCTTAAATTCCACATATGAATGAAATCCTATGATACTTGTCTTTCTCTGACTTATTTCACTTAGCATGATACCCTCTAGTTCCATCCATGTCATTGCAAATGGCAAGATTTTGTTCTTTTTGATGCCTGAGTAATATTCCAGTGTGTGTGTGAAATATTTCACACACACACACCCCCCACATCTTTATCCATTCATCAGTTGGAACTCTTTCCATAGTTTGGCTATTGTGGACATTGCTGCTATAAACATTGGGGTACATGTGCTCCTTCAAGTCACTATGTTTGTATCCTTTAGATAAATACCTAATAGTGCAATTGCTGAGTCATAGGGTAGCTTTCTTTTTAACTTTTTGAGGAATCTCCATACTTAGTCTTCCAGAGTGGCTGCACCAGTCTGCATTCCCACCAACCACATAAGAGGGTTTCCTTTTCTCCACAGCCTTGCCAACACCTACTGTTTCCTGAGTTGTTAATTTTAGCCAGTCTGTGTTTCTCTAATGCTGGCAGTGAGCATTTTTTCATGTGCCTGTTGGCCATTTTTATGTCTTCTTTGGAGAAATGTTGGTTCATGTCTTGTGCTGATTCCTTGAGTGGATTTTTTATTTTTTATTTTTTTGGGTAAAGCACCTCCTTTTGACTGAATCAGAGGGTTAAAACTGGTGCCTTTTGATTTGCTGTACTTGAGCCAAATCAACTTCTAAAATGTATCCTATTTTACCAGTACAAAAATAACAGTTATAATCTTTAATTTGCAAAATGTGTAAATCACAGAAGCTCCTGGTTGCTTTGCTGCAGGATTGCCCAGCCAGGGGACTGTTAGAGGGATGAATTGTATTCTGAAAAGATGACAGGGCTTTGGTTCTAATCCCCAGTACCTATGAATGTGATCTTATTTGGAAGTAGTGTTTTTGCAGATTACTAAGATGAGTCATCACAGTGGGCCTAATCCACTATGACTGTGTTCTAATAAAAGGGGACATAGTGGGGCACCTAGGAGGGGCTCAGTCAGTTAAGCAT